AATATAATTTAGTCATTTCTTAGCTGTTCTCATAGCTTCTCAACATGTACTTAACTTGGCCATGTCCCTTTCTGGAGAAAGAAAAAATTTCTTTCTATAACAAGATAAAAGTGCAAAATTATAAGAATCAGGAAAGGCTAATTTCACAATCATTCTTACCCATACACAGAAACAGCAGATGTGCCCAAATCTCCTTGGATGTTCTCCCAAGACTAGTTTCCTCCTCACCTTTTCAATAAAACCACGTTTCTGCTTTAGATTTAAGATTTTAGTAAATTGAAAATTTAGTAAATTGAAGTTAAATTTTCCTAAATTATCTAATAAAAATAAATGAAAAAAATTTTTTTTCCTAAATTAAAATTAGTAAAATTCAGTAAATTATTTTAAAATTTTGGTAAATTGTAGAATTTAAAAAACTGAAGTAAATTTAAAATTGAAGATTTTAAACTCAAGTGCACAAATTTTAAGAGTGTGGACCAGTGATTTCCTTTTACATATGCATACACCTATGCATCTACCATGGAGCAAGACACAGGATATTTACAACACCCCATTTCCCCCACTTCCCCGCCCCCAGCGCATCACTCACTATTCTGGCAAGTATTTCTATTTTCTTAAAATCAACCATACCCGACAGTGATTTGGAGGTCACTTTAATCAGGGACTCAGAAAGGTCATTCATTACTCATTCCTACCGGGCTCCCTGAGTCCATTTCAGGGCGCGGATTGCCGGGAGGTGCGCGCACGGTGGGGTGCCCCGTTCCCGATTCCGATCACACACTCACACTCGCAAACGGCCCGCCGATCACCGCACCCTCCTCCGCGCCCAGCGGCCCCTACCTCGTGTGCTGTCCGCCCGCCGGCCGCTGACTCTGGCTCTGCCCAGGGTCCGCACGGCTGTGGACCCGCGCCCCCGGCTCAGCCCCGCCCCCGGGCCCGCCCCTCCCGCGGCGCACAGACCCCGCCCCCTCCCCAGGCGGCCTGGCTTTGCGCAGCGGCGGAAATGGCCAGGGCGGGGCGAGCCGCGCGGCGGAGGCGAAGGCGGGGACCTGGCTCCTCCCCGGTCCCGCCGGCTCCTCCCACCACGGGTCACGTCGTGACAGGGGCGGAAGCGGCGGCGGCGGCGGCGGCGGCCGAGCTGGGGCTGCGGCTCGCGGCGCGGATCCTGCTGTCCTGTGCGCGCGGCGCGCGGCGCGCGGCTCCGGAGAGGCGCCCGCAGCCCGGGGCGGCGCGCTCGGTCTCGCCCGCGCTCCCAGGTGGGGAGACGCGCGGCTCCGGGGGCGGGCGTGGGGGCGGCGGCGGATTTCTGGTGACAGCTCTGCACAAAGCAGCCTGGCCGGGGTGCAAGCTCTCCTGCCCCTGTGCCGCGCTCCTCGCCCGGGTGGGAGGTGGACTGGTCCCTTGGGGCTCTCCCTCCGTCCCCGGGTTGGAAAGGGGCGAGGGGTGCGGGGGAGGGTCCCAGCCCGAGGAATGGGGGCGGGGGGGTGGATTCCTGGCCTGGGGTGTTGGAGCGATCGGCTTCCCCGCTTCCTCGCGGTGTTGCGGGTTAATCCCCCTCCCCACAATGTTTGCTTTCTGTACAGGGGTGCCGTCTCCCCGCGACTCCTTGCACGCCTCCAGCGCAAAGGTGAGCCTGGGGAGGCTGCGGCTTCTTCGACTTCGGAGGAGTCGAGAGAGCTTTTTGGAAAGCGAGGCGGCTGCCGCTGGCACAGGGAGCCTTTGGGGGCTCCCTCCTGGGGGCTGTCAGAGCCCTGTCACCCGGGGAGAGGCTGCTGCGAGGAAGGGGGCACCCACCGGCCGGGGGCTGGAACTCCGTCGCTTGCCTCCCGGCTTTGAGAGCGTGGCGGCGAGAAGCCGGTACGGCCTCGCAGGTGCTGTTAGCTGGACTGCGGCGCAGGCACCACGCGTTAAGAGGCGACCGGCATTGCCAGGTTGCTGGGGTGACTCCTCCGGGACCCGAGACCCCGAGGGGGCGGCCCGATTTCGGTAACTTAGTCAACAGCCCAGCAGCCGGCAGGTGAAAGAGGAAGGAAGAGACAGGCCCAGCTGTAGCGAGTTGGGGGTTCTGTGACCTGGAACCTAGCCAGATGGAGGCCAGGCCTTCTCTCGGGAGAGCGTGCAGGCGTCCAGGCCACTTCGTCTGGGGGATCGGTCACTCCACCTCTGCACACACAGCTCAGGGCTCTTCCTCTTCGGTTGGTTGGTGTTTTTTTTTTTTTTAAACCGACTTTAGTGGAAGAAAGGTGAGTGGGAGGGAAGGTTTTCTTCAGGAGGTACCGGAGAAAATGACCATCAATAATTAATTATTCTCCGTGCAGAGAAAGTCGTCAACAAAGCGTTCGGGCAACTGAACTGGATCCATATGTCTGAAAATTGATTCTTGGGGGTGCAGTTTTAAGTGGCCTGAAGGGGAATTTTTGCTCCTGTTGTCTCTGGAGAAGTTTCTAGTAGTTTGGCCAGTTTCGGGAAATTATGCTAATGACACTATACATTTTTATTCCAACCTGGAGTCCTTTAATTCATATTTTTATGGATTCTGTGTGGGTTTTTTTTTAAGTTTTTTGAATAAGTTACTTCTGAAAATATCTTGGAACTTACTAAACTAGAAATCTAGACATTGATATATTCACACATCTTTAGGTATCCCCCCAACCATTTTTCCTTCTTTTGTCATATTAAGAGAAAACCAAAGCTACGAATTTAAAATTAGGAAGAACTATGCTTATAAGGTCATAGTGGACCTGAAACAAATTGATTATATTTAAAGTTAGGTGTGTTTATTAATTTGAAGAACCAGGCGGAAAAGCACTTCCAGTATACTAATTTGTTTTTACTGACACTTGGTCAATATTTCTAAGATTATATTTAAAAGCATAAGTAACTGTAGCCCTCCCAACTTAAAATTTTTTCCTCCATTTGAGGCCCCAAGAACCCAGCAACAGTGAAAATAAAGAAATTACAGTGTCAAAAAAGAATGAAGGTACATAACTGTTAATTGTATAATTAAAGGTGAAAATGTACTACTCTGAAAATCTTCAATCGTATTTTTCCCAGACCACACAGATTTCTTAACGGCTTTCATAGCTAATGTTTTCATTTCCTCTTAACCATTTCTTGGATTACATCATTCTTTTGCAATCAAAAATATGTTTTTCAGTATACAATTGGGTTACAATGTTTGATGAAATTTCCAGAAATTATGCTTTCTTTTGAGAGTGCTTGCATTCCCAGGTAACACGGTCAAATGTTTCTTGAACTGATTTTATTTGCATTCCTAAACCACACATTAGACTCAAATTTTTTTGCTGCAATACTTAACATATACAGTGTACATGTTTACATATGCTTTATTTGTGGTTCATTTTATGAATAATGTAGGTTATATGTTTTACGTAAAGAGATTGTAAATTATTTTGAAAATGTGAGCCAGGAGCCCTTCTTAGGGTATAAGAATTAAGGTAGACAGTAGTACTTTTAAAACCACTAATGCTTTATCCAGCTACATAATGAGTGCTGTAGGACTAATGGCAGTTTTTTAAATGGCTAAGAGCTGTAATGCATTTCAGAATCTGTATACAGTATATTTGTTCATATACTAACATAATGGTTTTGAGAAAGTGAAGACTGAGTCAAAGAAAAACCATCCATAACGCTGGTGTCAAGATTTCTCAAAGTTGATGTAGATGGCAGATTGAAAGTTTTTACATGTGATGTTCATAATCCATAAAAAGTGCACTTACAAATGTTAGTGTCAATAGTAGGATCACAGTTTATAGGGAAGCAATAGGATTACAAGCCCTTCAAAGCTTTTACCCAAGATTAGGATCATATATGTGGGATTTGTATCTTAAGATAACAACACTTCTCCACTTTCAAATTCCACTTTCAATTCCTTATCTGTAGGTATGTCCTATTTATTTCTCATGCTATTGTGAGTATGTGTGTGGAGTGATTATATTTAAAGTTGATTACAGATCAGGGAGGGAGATGTCTGATAACTGTAGGATCCCTATACTAAACAGTACTTAGTTATGCTAAGCATTTTTCATTCCTTATGTAAGTTAATTGAAAAAAATGCTAGTATGACGTCTTAATCATTCATGGATTTATGCATTATGTTTTTGTGTAGACTTTTGATTCTTAATGTTTTAACTGTGCTGTGATGAAACTAGTTTGAGAACTCAATTTGTCCAGTGACTGCCTAACCCAGATTCCTATATTCAGTAGTGACCAGATAGTGTACCTGAGATTTATTTGTTGGGTTTTACTGAGAAGGAATGAATGCTTTTTCTTTTTAAAGTATGGTGGTGGTTGGTGGTTTCGTCACTAAGTCATGTCCAGCTCTTGCCACCCCATGGACTGTAGCCTGCCTACAAGGTCCTGTTTCCATGGGACTTTCCAGGCAAGAATACTGGAGTGGGTTGCCATTTCCTTTTCCAGGGGATCTTCCCAACCCAGGAACCAAACTGAGGTCTCCTGCATTGCAGGCAGATCCCTTACTGACTGAGTTATGAGGGAAGCCCGTATACTTTTTAAAGTAAAATAGATCAAAATTTGGGAACTAAGACATAGTGAGAAAGAGAGGAACATAAACAAAAATAAGATATTTTTATTCATTGAATTTTATAAACAGTAGTGTCTTTTGTTTATAGGTTATTCATTCCTGTATATATGTAAAATGTATATACTACTAATGGGTAACATTTATTGAGTACTTATACTGGGCCTGGTGCTTTCAATTATTTTACTTAATCCTCACACCAATACTAGGGTACACACTAGTTGTGCCCATTTTATATATGAGAACGCTGAGGCTTAGTCTTAGCTTAAATAACTTGAAAGCAGTGGTTTCACACTCAGGCCATCTAACTGTACGGCATGCACTCTTACCACCAAAACTACTTAGTAACTTGATTCCAGAGTGTTGAAAGTGTTAGCAGATGCTCTTATTTAATGTTTTCTGTTTTTTTTTTTTTTTTTTTGACAGATTTTCTGATACAATGGCGACCTCACGGGGGAGAACGAAGAAAAAAGCATCTTTTGATCATTCTCCAGATAGCCTTCCTTTGAGGAGTTCCGGTAGGCAGGTATCGCTTATTTGTTCATTCATTGACCCTGTTTTGAGCCAACAAACTTACTGTGATTGGGACTGAAGAATTAGAGATGAAAGAGCAGAATTCCAGCCCTCAAGGAACTTGCAGTCTAGTGGAAAAATTCACCTTGGGACTTCCAGTGTGATAAAGTGATAGAATGTAGGAAAAAAAAGCTTATCTGGAGGAGATAAAGGCATTGCTGTGAATCAGCACAGGGTGTTCAGCTGTGTGGTTGCCTCCAGGATGTGAGCTAGGGCCAGATCATGCTTGGCTTGATGTCATTCATAGGAATTTAGATCTCAGCTTGTAATGGTTGGTTGGGTGCTGTTTGTGGCTTACTCGCTGCCATCTTTCTTGTAGGGCCTTTTTTTTTTAAAGGAAAATATTGAATGATGTAATTCTTTCTCTAGAATTTGTCTACAGATTTTTATTGTAGTTTTTAAATCTACAATACTGAGAGCATAGAACTTCTCTAAGCAAAGAGAACAATCTTAATTTGAAAGTGGCTTTCATTTTTTTTGAAAGTGGTTTTCATTTTTTATGATACAGCGTAAAGAATTTTTTTTAAAATTTTTATTGGTTAGACTATCTGGGTTAGATAATCAGTATTGAAGTAGAGTTGAAACAGCTTTTTCCTAAAAGAAACTCGAATGCATTTTCGGTCTCTACTCAGAGACCTGTTGTCGAAGTGCTGGTTCCAAATTTCTAGCAGATAAGTGAATTGTTTGCACAATACAGTCTCAAGGAAATTGCTGTTATCGTCAGCCCCTACCCTACTACCAGGATGCTGTTGATCTTCACACTTAGAACTTCTAACCTGGAAGTGATTTCAGGAGTAAACATCCCACCACCTCCACCCTGGGCCGTGGCCAGTGTTGATCTCAACCTCAGCTGGTTCTTTCTCAGGCGAAGAAAAAGGCCCCGGAGACAACGGATGAGGATGAAGACGGTGGGTCAGAGAAAAAGTACAGGAAATGTGAAAAAGCAGGCTGTACGGCCACGTGTCCTGTGTGCTTTGCAAGTACTTCTGAAAGGTCTGTTTAGATGGCGTGTCTTGGCCTCACCTTCCTGCCAATGAGCCCATTCATCTTCAAAGATAGCCTTCCTAGAGATACATAGAGATACCGCTATCCTGCAGTAGAGACATTGCCGGTACATTTTGTACACATTGTACCCCGCTATTCACTCCCTACTAGCTGATACGGCCTGTATGAGCTCTGCACAGTGACCAACGCCCTGTGCTCACGTCGCGTCCCCCAGAGTTGTACCTCTGGTGGTCGGGAATGGGGGAATAGCTTGAGGATGCGATGGGGTAGGAGGTGAGGGGGGAGTAGAGAGAACCTTGAGCTTCCTACAGAGACCAATGTTTGCTTATTTCTCTGGGTTGCTTTTCTCCATCTTACAGCATACCTCCTCCTCCAAAGATACATACAGGGCTCATTCAAACTACGTAGCTAACTGCACTCTTGCCATTTTTGTTGGGATGATCCAAGCATGACCTTTTACTTCCAGTGGAAAAAAACTTCAGTTAAGATTTAATTAAACCCGGAAAACAAATTCTTTCTTTTTTTTAAATCACAAAGAAGTGGTGGTGTTAGTGTTCGTAGTGGCTTTATAGTTCATTCTTTTGCTACATTATTGGCTGCGTGGCAGGTTTTGTTTGCCAGATTGCCCACAGGATGGTCCAATCCCAGCTTTCCAGATGTTGCTACTAGAGACCACACTTCCCTCCTTCGCACACATGCCGCAAGCCCACGGCCATCCCGTCTATCATGTCCTAAAACCCTATCATCAAGGGGAGGGGGGATCGGGATGGGGAACACATGTAAATCCATGGCTGATTCATGTCAATGTATGACAAAACCCACTACAATATTGTAAAGTAATTAGCCTCCAACTAAAAAAAAAAACAAAAAACCCTATCATCACTCCCTGGAGTCCTGATAAAATTAGACCAGGCCCTTTTGATGAGCAGGCAGCTGGGTACCACTGATCTAAGTCCCTGTGTCTTCCCCATGCATTCTTCTGTGCCAGTCAACAATTCCATTTCTTCTGTTGTAATCTCCTGGTCATTAAGATTCTAAGTGAAGGTAAGGCAAAATGGGCTCATAGGAGGTCTTTGATAAATGTTAAAAAAAAAAAGTGAGAAGTGTTTATTCGTTACCAAAGCTATCTGTTTTTGCTATTTTCAGATGTGCCAAAAATGGCTACACATCCCGATGGTATCACCTCTCCTGTGGGGAGCATTTCTGTAATGAATGCTTTGACCATTACTACAGAAGGTTTGTTCTGATAATTGTTGGAGTTTTCCAGGGTGGAAGGGATGGTGGCTTGGGCAGTGGAGGGGGTCAGATGGTTAAGCAGCCCCCTCCCTGGGTTACTGAATTATTTCACTGTTTCGTCCATACCTGGGCTGACTACAGGTGTGCCAGAACTTTGATGCGGTAGTTTGCATGTGTGTATGCTTGTGTGTGCACACTCAGAGCTGAGAAAGCATCTGCCATGAGACAGTTACTCTGTAGTTCACAAATTCTGAAGAATTTAGGAGTTGCTTTGCTCTTCTATGCCAATGCAAAGGGGGAGGAATGAAAAGATTTTGTGGGGGATTCTGACAGAGGGTGCTGGACAGACAGGTAACCATCCCTTCTTGATAGTTTTAGATACTAAAAATGCAACCTGTTTTATGGGTGCTATGATAACTTACCCCTCCCCACTTATAATATGGCTAGTTAAGTCCTTCACATAAGATTTCTATCTGCCTCCTGTTTTGAAAACCTGAATAGCTTATTGTTTGATGTATTTATTTTTATTGTTTTTCAGTCATAAGGATGGATATGACAAATATACTACATGGAAAAAAATATGGACAAGCAATGGAAAAACTGAACCTAGTCCCAAAGCTTTCATGGCAGACCAGCAGCTCCCCTACTGGGTAAAAAAGATAAAACTGTATTATTTTGTGAAGCATTTGTAGGGCTTCCCTGGTAGCTCCAGGGTAGAGTCCCCCTGCCAAGCAGGAAACAGGGCTTTGATCTGTGGGTCGGGAAGATCCCCTGGAGAAGGAAATGGCAACCCACTCCAGTCATTCTTGCCTGGGTAATATCATGGACAGAGGAGCCTCGCGAGCTACAGTCCACAGGGTAACAAAGAGTTGGACACAACTGAGCAACTAAACAACAGCAAAAGCATTTGTAGCATTAAATGCAGAAGAAATGGATGAAAATTCCAATTTTTAGGAAAGTTTTCTTTAATTCCATTTATTCTTTCTGTAACTATTAAAGGAATTTTTTATTTTTGTGGAAAAATCACCTAACTTGACCTGTAGTATAAAGAAGAAACTAGACTCATTGCCAGCTGGTGATAGCCATTGCTAAGTTTGGTCCATATCTCTCTTCTTTTTTTCTGTTCGTGTTTTTCTGTGTTTATTTAAACACAGTTTCACGCTTTGTATGCAAATCCTAATTAGGTTTAGAATCATGCTTTGCATGTAAGTTTTTAGTAGCTTTTTTAGTTTTTTTAAATTAATTTAACTTTATTTTTTCTATTTAGCCATTCTTTGAAAACACACTTTAGTGATTGTATATATAAGTATACCATCATTCAATAAATTATTTGCAAAAAAAATTATTTGCTAATTTATTTAATGTTATAGGTAATTTGAGCTTTTCTCTGCATCCCTTAAAAATTTTTCTTAATTGAAGTGAGATTTACGTAACTTTAAATTCACAAAAAATTCACAAGGGGAGACTCAAGAGGGAAGAACACACACACACACTTTTGACCGATTCACATTGTTGTACTGCAGAAACCAACACATTGTAAAGCAGTTATCCTCCAATTAAAAAACAAGCTTAAAAAGTTTTTTTAATTAACCTTTTTAAAGTGTACAACTCAGTGGCATTCAGTACATTCACAGTGTGGTCCAATCCCCACCTATATCTATTTCCAGAACATTTTCATCATCCACAAAGGAGACTTGTGCCCATTCAGCCGTCACCTCCCATTCCTCCCTACCCCCACCTCCTGGCAACCACTAATCTGCTGTCTCAATGAATTTACCATTTTGGATGCTTTATATAAAGGAATCAGGCAGCATGTGACCTTTTACATTTGGCTTCTTTCACTTAACCTCATGCATTTGATGCTGAACCTCTGTTAACCCAGATCATGTGGGGGAGATGGCCAAGGAAGAGACAGAAGAAATGCTCGCTCGAGAGGTACCAACTCATTGTCCTTGACTTATTCCTTTCCATCTAGGTTCAGTGTACAAAACCTGAGTGTAGGAAATGGAGGCAGCTTACCAAGGAGATCCAGCTGACTCCCCAGATAGCAAAGACCTACCGTTGTGGTATGAAACCAAATACTGCTGTTAAGGTAAGATGTCTTTGGTTTTCTGTTTGAATTAATTGTTGGGTTAGTTTAGTTGTCAGTCGGTAGTAATGACGTATATTTTTCCTTTATCGTATTGATCATTGTGTCAGGATGGTACTATCCCATGTATAAGAGAACCTCCACTACAATAGCTTAACTGATTAAGGCTTTTATTTTTCTCTCATTATAGACAGTTTAGAAGCAGGCGGTCCAGAGTTGGTATAGCTGCCCAGGGAATTCTCCTTCTAGTTGCCAGCTCTCTCACAAGATCATTACTGCACTGTCAGCCATCATTCCAAGTTCAAAGTAGAAAAGATGGGAAAGGCTGGAGTATCATAAGCCAAGTCTCTCCTCCTTTTACTGGGAAACCGGGAGCTTTCCTGGAAGTTCCAACACTAGATTTCTATTTATAGCTCTTCGGCCAAGGTAGGATCTCACAGCTACTCTGAACAACAGTGGTGACAAAGGAAGAAGATATTCCATAACTGTTACATGTTTTATATTTTATAACTGGAGGGAAATCTTTCATAGCAGCATCAAAATTAGGATCCTGTTAATAAAGAGTGAAGGATGAATATATGTTTGGGTTCAGTAGACAGGAGTTTGAGCAAATGCAGAGAGATAGTGAAGGACAGAGAAGCCTGGCATGCTGCAGTTCATGGGTTTGCAAAGAGTCGGACACGAATTAGCGACTGAATGACAATAACCATATGTTTGGGCTATTAGCAGTCTTTCTTAATTGGTATATTGTGCCTCTTTGGAGATCTGACAATTGCTTAGCGTTGAAAAATGTGCTAATTGCTTCAAAGTGTTAAAGCATTCATCTATAGAGTGTGTCTTGTTTTATCAGTACATTAAAGAATATTCGGGATTGTAATCTCAGATGCAAGATGGTTTTCCTTTCTGAAAATTTTGACTTAATTCACATAGCTTAATTCACAAAATTCACCCTCTTAAAGTATATAATTCAGTGGTTTGTGGTACTAATATATTCACAGATATGCATTTATCACCAGCAAAATATTTTCTTAGTTCAAATTCTGCTTTAAAGAATGAATGAGAAACATTTGAAAAGCTTTATAAAGTTTATGATCAAGTTTTTCAAAGCCTGGGATTTAAGATACAAATATTATTGAAGTGACTCATAATTATTATAAGTATATTTGGAAGATTTTGCAAAGTAAACTGGTGAGAAAAATGGAATGAATATTTAGGAGTTCTGTTTTCTATAGTTTTAAATTTTACAGAAGCATTACATAAATATAACCTCAAGTTTAAAAAAGTGAATTGAATATGTAAGTACATGCACACACATAATATGTAAATAAAAAAATGAAAGTCCCCTTTAAACCTTCTCTTTCTTCCCACTCTGATAGATAACAACTCTTAATGATTCATTTATGCTACTGGAACTTTCTTTATGCTCTCATTATGTATTTATGGTAGGGCACTTTTTTTTTTTAAGCACTGGAAACAAATATCTAAACTACTCTTTAAAGGTTTAAAGAAGTATAGCTCAGAGTGATCATAGCCTCTAAGGATGGTATCATATCTTTTAAATCCCCTCTGCCCAAGAAATCCTCCCTTGAGACCCTCTAGCTCCATTCTGATTGATTACCATCTATAGCCTCAACTTTTGAAATATTTATTTAAATGGTGTTTATTGACTCAGAGTCCCTTTGGTTTTCAGCTTGGTCCTCTGTCAAGGACAGAGTCTGGAAAGGATTATTTGTAAAACATTAAAAAGAATGGTAGCAAACAACGCACACTGTTTGCAGCTCACTTTTTGTCATTTAATATATCTTGAAGATGCTTCTGTCTCAGTGCATAAAGATCTCTTTTCCTATAAAGACTGTATAGTACATAGTCCACTGAATGGATAGATTGTGATGAATTTGGCGTGGTCGAAGGGCATTTAGGTGACATTTAAACGTTTAGTGTCAGTGAGTGCACTGTAGTGAATAGCTTCATGCCTATGCTGGTTTTTAGTGTATTTGTGGGATCCATTCTGAGAAATAACATTACTGTCAAAGAGCATATCCAGTTTTTTACAGTTTTATTTATGTATTTTTATTTTTGCTGGCCTGGATCTTCCTTGCTGTGTGCAGGCTCTCTGTAGTAGTGGTGAGTGGGCCTAAGTCTTCATCGCAGTGCGAGGGCCTCGCTCGCATTGCAGTGGCTTCCCTTGTTGCAGACACGGGCTGAGGCTCACGGGCTCCAGTAGTTGCAGCCTGCGGGTTTAGTGGTTGTGGCTCGTGAGCTCTAGAATTCTGACTCAGGAGCCCTGGCGTCCGGGCTTGGCTGCTCCGAGACATGTGGGATCTTCCCAGCTCAGAAACGGAACCCGTGTCCCCTGCATTGGCAGGCAGATTCTTATGTTCTGTGTCTCCAGGGAAGTCCTATCAAGCTGTTTTAATTTGAAATAATTCTTAGACCCACAAGAGGATTTATAATTTGTGTGTAAGGAGTAAAGAATAAAGTTGAACACTCACCGTGTCCTCACACCCAGCTTTAGAAACAGAGCGTGACCAGTGCCTCCGTAACTCCCGAGGTGCCTCTCAGTGGTTATCTTCCTCTGCCTCTCCTGCAAGAGCAAGCAGTATTTCAAATTTTGTATTTATTACTCCTCTGCTTTTTGTTTTTGAGTTGATACATATGTATGAAACCCTAAATAACATGTGAAGTTTTGCATATTTTATGTTGGTTGGAAATTGTATCCTGTTGTTTGCGTTCTTCTGCAGCTTTCTTCTTTTCCTTAGCACTGAGGCTTTTCGGTTGCCTCCGTGTTGATGCCTGCAGCTCTGAGTCATTACTTGTCCCTGCTGTGTAATTTTGCTGTGGATCTACCTTAGCGTGTCTGTTCTCTTGTTCATAGGTGTGTGGGGGTTGCTTCTAGTTTGGGGCGCTCTTGTTCTTTCATGTCTCTCCTGTGCTGTGCTTAGTCATGTCCGACTCTTTGCGACCCCGTGGACTGTAGCCCACCAGGCTCCTCTATCCATGGAATTCTCCAGCAAGAATATTGGAGTAGGTTGCCATTTCCTGTTCCAGTTTTCCTCGTGCACACGTGCAAAGAGTTTCTCTGGAATATATTCCAAGGGCTAGATTTCCCAGATGATATGGTATGCCAATCTTCAGTTTATTTAGGTAACTTTTTAAATTGAAATATACAAACAGAAAGCACACAAGTTAAAATGCCATAGCTCAGCGAATTTTCAGAGTCCACATTTAGCCAGGTCCCAGTAAAGACAACTGAGCACCAAAGGATTGATACTTTTGAACTGTGGTGTTGGAGAAGACTCTTGAGAGTCCCTTGGACAGCAAGGAAATCAAACCAGTCAATCTGAAAAGAGTCAACCCTGAATATTGATTGCAAGGACTGATGCTTCCTAAACTTTGACCACCTGATGCGAAGAACCAACTCAATGGAAAAGACCCTGATGCTGGGAAAGATTGAAGGCAGGAAGAGAAGGGGATAACAGAGGATGAGATGGTTGGATGGCATCACCAGCTCAATGGACATGAGTTTGAACAAGCTCCAGGAGTTGGTGATGGACAGGGAAGCCTGGCGTGCTGCAGTCCATGGGGGTCACCACAACTGAGCAACTGAACTCAACTGAACAGTAAAGAAATTGACCAGCCTCTCAGAAGCACCCTTGCACCACCTTTCACTTAAAGAGTCCATCCCTTCCCCCTGCCCAGAGTAACTACTTAACTTCCTCTTCTTCCCCATCCAAATACTAACCAGCCTGACCCCTCTTAGCTTCTGAGATCAGAGAGGAAAGGAGCTTTCAGGGTGGTGTGGCTATAGGTCCCTACTTACCCTTCCAACTTACAACACTGTGGATGTTGCTTCCTGTTGAACTTTATGTAAATGGAATAATACAATATGCATGCTTTTGGGTGTGGCTTCTTTCAACTCACTGTTATGTTTGGAAGGTGCATCCATGCTGTAATGTGTGTTGCAGTTTACTCTCATTGCCGTACCATTGTTTGACTGTAGTACAGTTTGTTTCTGCCTTCTACTCTTGATGGACTTCTGGTTTGTGTTTAGGTTTTCTCTCTTCCAAACTATGCTTCTTCGAGCATTTTCTAATCCTTTTCTTGGTGCGACGTGGACGAGCGTCTCTCCAGAAAGTAACAGTCATGCCTTGTTCTATTGCACTTCGCTTTTTTGTGCTTCACAGATATGCATTTTTTTACAAATTGAAGCTTTGTGACAATTCTGCATTGTCATATGATGGTTAGCATATTTAGCAATAAAGTATTTTTACTTTATTTATTTATTTATTTTTGGCTGTGCTGAGTCTTCATTTTGGCACAGGGGCTCTGGGGCACTTGGGCTCTGTAGTTTTAGCACACTGGCTTTAGTTGCCCCAAGGCATGTGGGATCTTCCCTGATCAGGGAGCAAACCCCTGTCCCCTGCGTTGGCAGGTGGATTCTTAACCACTGGACCATCAGGGCAGTCCCTGAGGTGTTTTTTAATTAAAGTATGTGCAGGTTTTTTTTTTAAGCTACTGCACACTTAATAGACTACAGTATAGTGTAAACATAACTTTTATATGCACTGGGAAACCAAAAAATTCTTTTGAGTCACTTCTATTGTGACGCTTGCTTTATTGCAATGGTTGGTCTCAAACTGAGCCCACGATGTCTCTGAGATATGTCTGTATGGCAAGAATAGAATTGTTGGGCATAATGCAGTCATATCTGCAGGGCTTGATTCCAGGACCCTGCAGGTATCAAAATCTGAAGATGCTTAAGTCCTTTGTATAAGACGCCATAGTATTGCATGTAACCTACACACATCCTCTCGTGTACTTTAGTTCATCTGTAGATTACTTTTAATATTTGATATAATGTAAATTCTATATAAATAATTGCTGGTGCACGGCAAATTCAGATTTTACTTTTTGGAACTTTCTGCAGTTTTTTTGAATATATTTTAATCCGAGGCTGACTGAATTTGTGGATGTAGAACTGATCATAACATGTACATCTTCAGTTATACAAGATAATGCCAAATTATCATGCATTTAAAGGTCTCATATTTTGTCAGATTGTTCTCCAGATTATTACATATTGTTGTAGGTTGCCACCGAGGACATCCTTGCAAGAGGAGCTGTCTTCCTCACACCCTCACTCATGTGGGTGTTTTATCACACTTTCTCTTTTCCAATCTAAGTGATGAAAAGAGGTATCTTATTAAAGGTAAACTGACACTTATGACTGTATTTTAGGGACTTCCCAGGTGATCCAGTGGTTAAGACTTCACCTTCAATGCAGAGGGTATACATTCGAGTGCTGGTCAGGGATCTAAGATCCCACATTCTTTGAGGCCAAAAAACCCAGAAGCAATAGTATAACACATTCAATAAAGACTTTAAAAATGGTCCACATCAATGAATCTTTGAAAAAAAAAGACTATATTTTATAATTAAACCTAATTAATACTTTTTGTCTTGTTTTTGCAGACTGAGACCTCAGACCATTGTTCCCTCCCAGAGGATCTAGTGAGTATTTCTACAGGTTTCAGATTAGCCTGCATCACACTTTTAGTGATAAGTATGATAAGTAAAACACAGTAACAGTGTTATGAGTGTCTTTATTTGGTTGCTGATCAAAGGCTTTTTAATCTCACGTGATAACTATGTGATGAAAATGCTAGCAGGAATGGTGTTATGAATGATCCTCACCCAACTTGAAAAAAAAACACTAAAATTTTATCGTTTTATATTTAAAGGAAATAAAAAGGCAGAAACTGACGCCGTGCCTTCCTACAAGGATCAGACTTGTTATACTTGTTTTCCAGGGGGGAATTTATGACCTTCTCGCCACTTGAATCGTTCCAGGAAACGAACAAGAGGCCCATAATTTGATGGTCTTGGCTCAGATTCAGCTGTGAGAGGCTTCTCCTGTTATTCTGACCTTAGCGTAACTGCTTTGTCCCGTCTCTGCCCAGATGTGGAAGGGGCAGCAGCTGGCAGAGCCTCGCCACGTGTCGCTTGTCTTAGGAAACTTTGCTCCCTGAGCTGACTGGTTTTGCCACAGAGCCAGATCCAACGGCTATTTCAGAAGATGATTTTTTTTTTAAATTATGAGTTTCTGAGTTATTCTGCATGACAGTGATTCAGATTGTTAGTTTGTGGTTTTTCTAGATGTGAAACTCAGGGAATGTGATTGATGTTCAGGCAGAGGGAGAACTGACCCCTGGCATGTCTGTTCTGTTACATAAAGGGCTGTGTGAGACACACACATATAGCCACATTAACAAAAATAAATAACTGTACCCTCAAACATTTCTACACTAAAGCAGTGGCCCAAATAATTTCTGGATTCAGGGTAAATGAGATGACATTATAGAAACAAAAGGAAAAAATAACTTTAAATACAGTTTAAAAAATTACTTTATGAATATTTCCCCTAGTGTTCAGACCATTGTGCTCTCAAGGAATCTGAACTTTAGGACAGAGGCCATATTCTTAGGATAAAAGAACCTTAAAAAGTTCCGAAGAGTCCCTGGATGTTCATATGCCAGTTACTTATTTTTGTCTTCAGTTAAGAAAGACTCTGGGGCAGGTTTATGAAATGGAACTTTCCTTCTTTTTGGTCCAGCGCAGGCCGGTCAAGGGTAGCCAAACCTAAAACAAGCCTCGAGGACAAAGATTGCAAACAGAAAAGCTATCAGGGGCCAGGCAAGTAAAATGAACGTGTGAGGGACTTTCCTGGTGGTCCAGTGGTTAAGACTTCGCCTTCCAGCGCGAAGGGAGGTGGGGGTTCGACCTCTGGTCAGGGAGCTGAGATCTCACATGCCTCATGGCCAAAAAAACAGAAGGTATATAACAGAAGCAATATTGTAGCAGATTTAGTAAGTAAAAAAAAAAGGTCTGCATCAAAAAAAGAAAAAAAAGTGTGAACCAGCTGGGAATAATTTATGAGGGATGTTGGGGCTTGTAGTAAGCTGAGAAAATGCTTGCCTGAGATTTGGACTCTGAAATCTGAAGGGCAAATAATGCATCTTTAATTCATAAACCACAGCTTGATGGCAGGTGGCATTTGCTTGGAGACTGGAGAACTAACATAAAGAGGGTTCCCGAGCCCAGGGTTCTTCTCTATTAGATTCCTGGAATTCCTGGAGCATACATTCAAGATCATGTTTAGCAAAATCTGCCTAGTATAGGATTTCTGGAGTGTTGCTTTAGAAGCAGGTAAATTTTATTTTTATCACAACAGTCATCACCAGGCTGCTTTGATCGAATGACTCCATATGTTAATTCAAAATCTGGAATATGATCACATTTTAAGACCAAAAATAGTTTCTTCAGTTCAGTCTACATGGAGCATCTTATTTTGCTGATTGTCATGTATTTTTCCCTCTGAAAAAATTTTTTCGTAACCTCTGGCAAAAAGCAGTAATATTTGACTGCTGCTTCAGAGAATTTTTTTGTTTTTTTTGCTGATTTTGCAGTTTACATTAGCTTTAGATCCTAAGTTAAAAGGGGGAAGAGCCAGGTGATACATGATTCCTGAACAGAAGGAAGTTAAGTATCAGACTTAAACAAACCTAGGCTTCCTGGAGAGTCAGTGGAGGCACCATCAAGACTTATCTGATGTTGGGACTTCCCTGATGGTCCAGTGGCTGAGACTCTGTGCTCCCAATGCAGGGGGCATGCTTTTGATCCCTAGTCAAGCACTAGGATGCCTTATGCCACAGGACGCAGCCAGAAAAAAAAAAAAGACTTACCTGGTGTTGGTGGAGTTTTTTCCTGGGGGGAAAGGGAGACCTCTTGCTGTAGATCTGAAGGAACTCGGCTTAAGAAACATGCTCTCCAGATTTCATCAGGGGTCTTTATTTCTCAGTCTGCCTGTGCAGGACTCTGGCCTAGGACTGAGCAAAGGCACAGGACAAGGGTGGAGGATGAATGAGAATGAATGACAGAACGAGAACCCTCTGTCCTTCGTGGACCCTGCATGTCTGTTTCTTGTCCGCCATTGTCCCTGTTTGTCTTGCTCTGCCCCCTTGCAGAGAGTGTCGGAAGTGTCCAACCACTGGTGGTACTCCATGCTCATCTTACCTCCTTTGCTGAAAGACAGCGTGGCTGCTCCCCTGCTCTCGGCCTACTACCCAGACTGTGTGGGCATGAGTCCATCCTGCACCAGCACGCACCGCGTGGCCAGCGACGCCAGCCCCGGGAAGCTGGAGCACCCCAAGGCGGTCCCTTCTGTGCTGGGTGAGCACTGGGCCTGGCCCTCCCTGCCTTCCCTCCCCTACCTTGCCCGGGAAATGTGTGGGTGAGCAGAATGGAAAAGATGGGTTTTTTGTTTGTTTGTTTAAATGTGTTCACTTGATACCGAGAACCTCATTATTTCATGAATCTGGTTTTACTGTGGATCACTCAAATTATTTGTATACATTAGTTAATTTTTCCTTTAATCATTGGGAACGCCTGTAACACTTTTCTAGGAATTGTACCTACGGAGTTTAATGAGCATTTCTTTGAAAGTTGGATAGCTGCGTAATTTGATGATAGTGCCTACTCACTCTGGCATGCCGTAAGAAAGTTTTGACTCGATGAGCCACCTTTCTTTTTTCTCTTTGAGTCATTCTGCTTCTAATTATGCCATTGATAATTACAGTCAAAACGACCCACTCTTGAAAAAACTTCAGGTCAAGGCAAGCAGACTGATGACTGTTCACTTTCAAGGGATTTAAAAAATTCTCCGTCAGAAATCTCAGTGTACGACTGAGAATTCTAGATCATCTCCTGCGTACTAACAAACTTCATCTTTGGTGCAAGTGGATTTTGACATTGTGGCCTTTTATTAAGGTTTTAACTAGTAGCACTGGACCCTCCAAAAATCGAGATGTGGTCGAAATCACAACGGAAGTGATAAATCCCAGTGTTAACGAAGGTGGAATGAAACAGGCCCTCAGACACTAATTAGTTGGTGTGTACATATATGAAGGGCAGTTTGGCAGTGTGAATCAAAAACCTTACAGTAGATCCTCTTTGGATGTAGGAATTTATCCTAAATTATGGAAGATTATCAAAAGTAAGTCCAAAGATGTGTGGTGTTTATAGTAGTGAAATAATTGGATAAAATAAAAATGCCCAGAAATAGGGGAGTAGATAATAAATAAGATAGCACTGTATGTGCATGGAAGTCATATTTAATGATATGGGACAGTGTTCTTGAAAAGCAGGCAGGAAAAAAAACCCTTTTCAGTGCATTTTTTGGCTTTTTTCTTTCTTTCATAGAGGCAAAACGTAGGTTAGTCTGGGTTTAACACCACTCAAGGATTATCAGGGGTTAGTGATTGGTTATTTACTTCTGTGAGCCTGTCTTCTAATCAGAAAAACTTCAATAATAGTTTCTTTTAAGATACATTTCCATGGGGATTTGGCATTCGGTTCATTTCCATGGGGATTTGGCATTCGGTTGGGTTTGGAATTTCAGGTTTGCAAGATGAAGTTGTTGTTCAGTTGCTAAGTCATGTCCAACTCTTTGTGACCCTGTGGCCTGTAGCACACCAGGCTTCCCTGTCCTTCACTGTCTCCTGGACTTTGCTCAAACTCACGTCCATGGAGTCAGTGATGCCATCTGACCATCTCATCCTCTGTCACCCTCTTCTCCTCCTGCCTTCAATCTTTCCCAGCCTCAGGGTCTTTTCCAGTGAGTCGGCTCTTCACATCAGGTGGCCAACATATTGGAGCTTCAGTTTCAGCATCAGTCCTTTCAATGAATATTCAGGCTTGATTTCCTTTAGGATTGATTGGTTGCATCTCCTTGCTGTCCAGGGGAACTCTCAAGGTCTTCTGCAACACCACAGATTGCAAGATGAAGACATTCTGGAAATAACACTGTTGAGAAACAATGTGAATATCTAGCACTCAAAGGAGAAGGCAATGGCACCCCACTCCAGTACTCTTGCCTGGAAGATCCCATGGATGGAGGAGCCTGGTGGGCTGCAGTCCATGCCGTCGCTACTAGTCGGACACGACTAAGCGACTTAACTTTCACTTTTCACTTTCATGCATTGGAGGAGGAAATGGCAGCCCACTCCAGTATTCTTGCCTGGAGAATCCCAGGGATGGGGGAGCCTGGTGTGCTGCCGTCTATGGGATCGCACAGAGTCGGACACGGCTGAAGCGACTTAGCAGCAGCAGTGGCACTCAAACATGATTAAGATGGCAGATTTTATAGCACATGTTTTTCTTTAACAAAAATTTTTTTTAAATTTCTGTGCCACAGAAATTGAATTTGTGAAGAAAGAATGGGGAAATATTTTTTAATTTCCACCCAGCAGGTCTAATTGGACAGAGGAAGCGGAAGCATTTATGTAGGACAGACCGGGAAGCTTGTCTGGGCCCTCCTTTCTGGTTTGTTTTGCTTCTGCTCTTCAGCTTACCCAGATTTCCCTGGTGGCCCAGACAGTAAAGAATCTGCCTGCAATGCAGGAGACCCAGGTTTGATCCCTAGGTCGGGAAGATCCCCTGAAGAACGAAATGGCAACCCACTTCAGTATTCATGCCTGGAGAATCCGATGGACCGAGGAACCTGGTGGGCTACAGTCCATGGGGTCGCAAAGAGTCGGACATGACTGAGCGACTAACACTTACCCAGATTTGGAATTTACAGCCTGTGAGATTTACTCCTTTGCTTCTCCCCTCAGTTCCAGGCATGAACCGGTACTTCCAGCCTTTCTACCAGCCCAACGAGTGCGGCAAAGCCTTGTGCGTGCGGCCAGACGTGATGGAGCTGGATGAGCTCTACGAGTTCCCGGAGTACTCTCGGGACCCCACCATGTATCTGGCTCTGCGGAACCTTGTCCTCGCCCTGTGGTTCACTAACTGCAAGGTGAGTGGAGGGCAGGCTGGCCAGCAGCTCGTGGACACAGGCTTCTCTTAGAGGAGTGGCGTGGTCTCCTTTAGATCCGTGGGTGTCCACCACGCGTTTGGGTGGATACTGTCTGTGTGGGGGCTGTCCTGTGCATTGTAGGGTGTTGAGGCAGCATCCCTGGCCTCTACCCACTAGATGCCATAGCAACCCCCCACCCCACAACCCAGTGTGATAGCCAAAAATGTCTCCAGATATTGCCAAACGGGGCCGCGTCTCAGCGCCTGAGAACCACTGCTTTAGACCATGTGTCACCAGAACTCTTGACTCTCTAGTGGGTGAGTATACAGTGCAAAGTTGGGTCAAGGAGTTCCAATGATAATGCCAGGAGAAAAAAGAATAAAACATTAAAGATTGGATCATAAACCCCCTGGAGGGCAGGAATTCTTACTCAGTGTGTTTTCCTTAAGCATCTGAAACCAGTGATTGGTTCTTTTCTGGGACTGAATGAATGTTAGGGACTTCAAACAGCACTTAGCTTGAAAGGGATGAAGATAAATTGGGGGATGGATGGGTGGGGAGACTACAGTTTTTTTTTTGGATGATAATTATCTTTTATTTATTTATTTATTTTAGTTTAGCTTTTTTTTTTCCATTTATTTTTATTAGTTGGAGGCTAATTACTTTACATCATTGCAGTGGTTTTTGTCATACATTGAAATGAATTAGCCATGGATTTACATGTATTCTACAGTTTTTTTTTTTAAGCAAAGTCTTTCCTGACCCTAGTATTTTTCCAATTTATTAATTTCTTCTGCAATTATTTGAGTGACTGCTGAATGTAGAACATTTTGCCAGACTGCCAGTCTTGGTTAAAGAAAGATATTCTGGGTCTGCTCTGGTATTTCATTGAATTAGACCCCAGCCCTAGATGATTGGATTAAGTTACAGCTATAAATGCAGTTGATATGAATTATACCCAGGTGAGTGGGTTGGGCAAAGTAGAGTTACTCATTTCCTCTCCAGCAGCCTTAAAGTAGGTATTCAGTAAACATTTGCTGAACAAAACAAAACTGTGGTCAGAATTTTCCTGTAAATAAGCTGTGAAGATGCATTTTTCAGAAACAGCCTTGGGTTCATTTTTCGTGACATTTCTTTTTAGTTGACTTTGAAATTGGACTTATGCTGTGGAAGACTTATTTAAAAAGTCCTCCACTTGTCAGTGTGGATCTGTTTTAATTTGTAATAAGATCATAAGATGTGTCTATTTAATACTCTAGTGGGGAAACTAAAATATGGTTGCTTTTAAGGAGTCAGAAAAACAAGGAGTCAGACTATGATTTTTTTTTTTTTAAGTCATGAATACAAACACATTTTTTAATCTTCTGCTGCAATCCAAGCCAATGTTGTACTTGTTATTTCTTTCGTATTTTGAGCCTGTAGTCATCTTCCTGTGCTTGATCAGATTCTCTTGGAGCTGGGGGTTGGGGACAAGTAGAGGAAAGACCAGTATGGGCACCTCCCCTCTGTACCCCATGGCCCAAACCTGTTCTAACTTCACGACACTGCGAGGAGGCCACCTTACTCTTGAATCTTTGAGCTGAACCAACCCTTACCAAAGCTTCTGGAGTAAACAAGGTCAGGGTCTTTTTTTTTTTTCTGAAAAGTTCCTAAGTCCGTTCCTCCTTCATCTTATCAGTGATGAGAACCCAGCTTTTTCAGATCCCAGGGCCAACAGCAGCCTGGGTTTCTATAATGGCCTTTGTTTTGTGGTTTATTGAGTCAGGAATATATTTGTGGTGTGCGCTGCACCCACACTCCCCGTATCGGTCATTCTCTGCGAGGGGAAACAGGTGATAAAACATAGATTGCTGTGTGCCTCTTCTGTTCCTTTCTTCCTTCACCAGGCAGACCTCCCTTTGGTCTTACTCTATCTTAGTGATAAATGGTGGATTCCAGTTACCCTGGGAGGTTTTTGGTTTTTTTCGGTAGCTTAGATGGTAAAGAATCTGCCTGCAGTTTAGGAGACCAGGGTTCGATCCCTGCGTTGGAAAGATCCCCTGGAGAAGAGAATGGCAACCCACTGCAGTATTCTTGCCTGGAGAATTCCATGGACAGAGGAGCCTGGTGGGCTACAGCTCATGGGGTCGCAAAGAGTCGGACACGACTGAACACTAACACACCACACAAAACATGCACAATGTGAGATTTATCATTTTTACTAATTTAACCATTGTAAAATGTACAATTCATTGGCATTAAGTACATATACAGTGTCGTACAACCATCAGTTCTATGCAGTTCCAGACCTTTTTCATTGCTCCAAGAGGAAACCCCATACCCATTAAACAGTGACTCCCCACTCCTTTCTTCCCCCAGCTTCTGGCAACTACTGGCCTACTTTCTGGGCTTCCCTGGTAGCTCAGCTGGTAAAGAATCCACCTGTGATGCAGGAGACCCCTGTTTGATTCCCGGGTCGGGAAGATCCCCTGGAGAAGGGATAGGCTGCCCACTCCAGTATTCTTAGGTTTCCCTGGTAGCTCAGATGGTAAAGAGTCTGCCTGCAATGCGGGAAGCCTGGGTTTGATCCCTGGGTTGGGAAGATCCCCTGGAGGAGGGCGTGGCAACCCACTCCAGTATTCTTGCCTGGAGAATCCCATGGACAGAGGAGCCTGGCGGGCTGCAGGCCATGGGGTCGCACAGAGTCGGACACGACTGACTAAGCACGGCACTGCCTGCTTCCTGTCTCTATAAAATCTGCCTGTTCTGGGTGTTTCACATAAATGGAATCGTATAGCATGTGGCCTTTTGCAACTAGCTTCTTTACTTAGCATGACGTTTTCAAGGTTCTTCCCTGTTGTAGCATGTGTCAGTACTCCATTTCCTTTTATGACCAAATCATAGTCCATGTATGGATAGACCACATTTAGCTTTACACTGTCACCCACTGGTGGACGCTTGGATCATTCCCACCTTTTGGCAATTCGAGTAATGCTGCCATGCATTTTTTTTTAAACTAACTTTTGAGTTCTTTCCAGTACGTACATAGGAATAGAATTGTTGGGTCATATGGTCATTCTTGTGTTTTCCCTTTTTGAGGAACCAAGACTTGTTTTCGGTCAGTTAGTTTAACAATCTGGTTCTGTTTCCAAACACAGGAAGCTCTTACTCCTCAGAAATGTATTCCTCACATCATCGTCCGGGGTCTCGTGCGCATTCGATGCGTTCAGGAGGTGGAGAGGATACTTTATTTTATGACGAGGAAAGGTCTCATCAACACAGGAGTTCTCAGCGTCGGCCCCGACCAGCATCTTCTGCCTAAAGATTACCACAATGTAGGTGACTGTCACTCTAGCAGTGCTGCTACCAATGGTCATGATCCATGATTGTATGTTAATAATACAAGTAAAACTCACATTATCGCTCTAAAAGTTATAAAGTGAGACTTTTGTAGATTATGCATTTCTTCAGGGAAAAGAATATTAACCACTGTTCCCCTGGAAGGTAGAAAAGAGGAAGGGGTGGATGACTTAGGACAAGTACTGTTATGTTCTTTAGGGAAGTACCTTTCTACGAACGGGACAACAAAGAAATACAGATGAACTAACATTGCTTGGCAGTTGGCCCCTTCTAGCACATTTTTTTCCATTGCTCTAATTGGATTTTTGTTTCTTTTTTTCTTTTGGTAAAGAAATCAGTCATCATTATTGGGGCTGGTCCAGCCGGATTAGCAGCTGCTAGGCAGCTGCATAACTTTGGAATTAAGGTAAGACTTGGAGGACACGGAGGTGAAAACAGATGGTTAACTGCTCCTTTGGTCCAAATTTTCTAAGACTTGGAAACTAGTTCCTGATTTTAGCAAAGAATGCTACATACATTGTATCATCCATGGGGTCGCAAGAGTCAGACACGACTTAGCGACTAAACTACTGTATTTGGGGTAGCCTTCTTCCCCAAGGAAAGATAACTCTTTCTTTTTAATTTTCATGTCAAAATGTGTTTTATTTTTATTAATTTTAGAAATCCTTTATTTTCTGTGTGTGTTGGTTTCTGCCATACAATGATGAGTATTAGCCATAATTATGCATATATATTCCATCCCTCTTGACCTCCCTCCCCCTGCCATCCCTAGTCATCACAAAGCACCTAACTGGGCTCCTTGTGATACATAGCAACTTCCCACTAGCTAGCTATATTATTTCTTTTTATTTATTTATCTTTTTAGTAGAATAACTACTTGTAAAGCGCCAAAATAGAGTCGATTACAAAAAAATTGTGCAATTCAGTATCTAATTTCCATTAGATTCATTCAAGTCTCCCAGATTTTTGGGACTTCCTAGGTCTGACTCATTTCTCCATTTTTTAAAAACTTGTTTTGCAAGGACTTTGGTTTTCCATTAAACCAAACATGAAAATCAATGTGGTAGAATTGAATTAGTCTTTCGCTGTGCTCTGTGTGGCTAAAAGAATCAACATTTTTCACAGCATCTTCTCTGCTGGCGGAGTTTCAGAAATGAGTAAGTTTTCAGTGGTTGTGCCTCAGAGGTTTTCCTTTTGGTGGGAAGCAAGATCTACGTCTTGGATTCTGTATATACTACTAACAAAAACAGGAGAATCTGAGTTGAGTTTATAGGAAGTGTGTTTGCATTTCAAAATATTGTCTGAGAGGTTGTATTAAGCTGTGAGGTATTTTAATTGGCCATATGTATATTTCAGCAATAGATATTAGGACCAAGGTTTCTTGTTTTTTGCTTGGGAAATTCACATTATGTTACAGGGAAAGTTATTCCTGAAAAAAATTATATGTATACATATGTATAACTGAATCACTTTGTGGTACACCAGAAGCATTATAAGTCAACTATATTTCGATTAAAAAAAAAGTTATTTCTAGCCAAAGTCGGGGGAGGAGGAGATTTCTTTTAACATTCAGCCTTCCTCTTACAAACTAAAAAAGAAACTAGAAATGGATGGTTCTGGGTTCATCTGAAGTCAGAGAGAAGGTGGAGAGCTGAAGCCTTTCTAGTTGGACAAAGTGAGGAATTTAGGTCCGAGGAAGAAGAATACTCAGGGGACCTCTGTTGTTCTCCCCTTTCTCTGGGGAAACCACCCCTCCTGGTTAGGAAATAGATTCCTCTGAGTAACCTCAGAGATGCTTAGCTTGGAAGCCTCCTGGAGCCGTCTGAAGGACTGCTCCTGGGGCTCCAGAAGCAAAAGGACTGCTTTTGCACTGAGGAGGCTTCCCGTTTTCAGCTTCTGCAACCAAGGGCAGGGTTGCTCTTTGAGGCACAGGGCTGTCCACCTGAGAGCAGCTGCTTCCACCTCCAGCATCAGAAATTTGGAGGAGATAAAGTAATCTGGCTGTGGGACCAGTCTATGCTGGCCAAGCCCATGTGGTCGTGCTTAGAATCACATGTGATTTTTTTTTTTTTTGTCTGTGTTGCAGATACATTCATTTGTGTAACAGATTCCACATATAAGTGATATCATGTGGCATTTGTCTTTCTCTTTCTGACTTATGTCACTTAGTATGATCATCTCTAGGTCCATCCATGCTGCTGCAAATGGCATTATTTTCTTCTTTTTCATGGCTGAATTGTATTCCTCTGTGTGTGTGTGTACACACACACACACATATATATACACATCACATCTTTTTCCATTCATCTGTAGATGGATGCTTAGGTTTCTTCCACATCTTGGCTATTGTGAATAGTGTTGCTATGGACATGGGGATGCATGTATCTTTTTGAATTATAATTTTGTCCAGAGAGATGCCCAGGAATGGAACTGCTGGATCCTTGACACACTGCCCTCTTTTTAAAGTTGTTTTTCTAATAATATGATAATGTATTAACTAGATGCAAAACTCATCTTATTGTGTCACTTTACACTTGTACTGCATTTGGTTATGACTGTTGCATCTTCTTCAGCTTCTCTGATTGTCTGTCTTTTTAGGTGACTGTCCTGGAGGCCAAAGACAGAATCGGAGGCCGAGTGTGGGATGATAAGTCTTTCACAGGCGTCACGGTGGGACGAGGAGCCCAGATTGTCAATGGCTGTGTTAACAACCCCGTAGCACTCATGTGTGAACAAGTGAGTTTCTTTAAGATTTGTACTCTAGATGAACAAAAGACGGTCTCAGTTTGCTTGTGTGCAGTATTAATACGCCTCTAGATAACACGTAATAAACCCAGAATGATTTGTTGCCCCTCATCCCTTCTGAAAAGTAAATAAGAACAATTACAGTTCTTCTTTCTCCGAAGGCGGAACTGGAAGACTTAATCCACCCCCCCCAGGTCTGTAATTATATTTGCGTGTTAATTTGCAGGTCACTTGATTAGCTCATTGCTGTAGGGTTGCCCGTTTAAGCAAACAAAATTACAGAATGCCAACTTAAATTTGACTTTCAGATAAACACCGATAATTTTTTTGATATAAGTATGTCCCAGTATCACATGGGATATTTTGCATGCACTCTTTGGGACCTACTTAGGCTTTAAAAAAAAAAACTATTCATTGTTTATCTGAGAATTAATGGGCTTCCTGTCTCTCGTCGGGCAACCCTACCTGATTTCTTTGAAGACCTGTGGTAGACCCAAGGGTTTTTGTGAACTATTGATTGACAGTCAGTTCAGCCTCAGCTTTTGTGAGTGTCTGTGCATTTGTGTGCTCTTTCCTGTGAGATTCCACAGAGGAGAAAGGATGTCAGAGCAGGGAGGGGCGGTGCACAGTGATAGCATCTGAAGCATGGATAAACCTTGGTGGAGGGCATGGCCTCAAAGCTGTTGTTGGCACCCTCCCATTCTCCGGTCCCATGCTGGTTTTTCACTGCCTGCCTTTGTGGCCATGCCCTGATCAGCCTGTATTTTTGAGAGATCCTTACTGACTCTTTGCTCCACGAGAGCTCTGTCTGATTGCAGCTTAGAACCTGTACCTATTTTTTCCAGGGAAAACTTTTCACCTTCTTATTCTTATTATTTTGAAGCTTGGCATCAGCATGCATAAGTTTGGAGAAAGATGTGACTTAATTCAGGAAGGTGGAAGAATAACTGACCCCACTATTGACAAGCGCATGGATTTTCATTTTAATGCTCTCTTGGATGTGGTCTCTGAGTGGAGGAAGGATAAGACTCAGCTCCAAGATGTCCCTTTAGGAGGTATGGGGAGAATGGTGTTCTGATTGTTCCATCTGAGTCTCATTCTAACTTAAGCTTGATCAGCGGTAGCATCATCCATCCACAAGCCTGAGTGGACCCAGTGAGAATAGTCCTTCGGAGCATCCCTTTTGGAAAACTGGCCATTCCACAAAGGGGAGCAAAACTGCCTCAGGGACCTTTAGATGTGTGTGTGTGCATGTGCATGCGTGCACACAGCTTACTTCACACAATAGCCTGTGTTTTAAAAAATCATGTAAGTGTTTAATTTTCAATTTCCCAGAAGAGCTTGCTTTTAAGAAAACATGTGATAAGCCCTATGTGAATAACTAGCCACCATGTAATGACTTTAGATAAGAGTTTCTATGTGCCAGGATTTCTTTTCCTTTTTCAGACGGAAGGTTAAGATTTATTTTATACATATATTTTGTTTAAGAATGCAAGACTCTATATTATAATTTAAGAATTGTAATTCAAAACTTTTAGGCTTTGGTACCAAATGAACCATATTCACCACAACCCTCTAGAAAACCTAACAGTAACAGCTCATTTCCTGAGGGCGCCAGCTGAGATCTTACTATATTGCTTCTTAAATTGATATTTATTTAACCTACGATTTCATGACCTGAATGTATTCATTTGTAATTCTCGGGAGCATGTTGGAGTCTCTTACATTGTGAGCATTTTAACTCAACTGCCAGGGTGTTAATTGGCTTCAACTTTGTGTTTCTGTGTGAGGGTTCTGGCATAGGCTCCATCTCTGTTTGGGGTAAATTTCTCAGCAGGGACTGTCTGTCTCCTTTTTTAATCCTCTCATCACGTCCCACCCCACCCCCCATTATCTCAAGTCTTCACCTCTGAGACCGACCCACTTTCTAACTGCCCTTAGTAAAAGTGTTGACAGACAAACCATAACAGAACATTTTTAGAAATGTCCTGGGGTTGACTGGGGTCGTTTAGTCAAATGTGGTAGTGCCCAGGCCCAGTGGCAAGTAATTGAATTTTCTGGAAGACAGCAACTAGGTGGACTTGCAGGATGTTCTCAGAATTTGGTTAGTGTTTGTGTGATAGTCGCAGGGTGGCGTTCTCGTCATGATTCTTTCAGGGTCATTATCTACAAAAATTAGTAATGTTTTGGCTTTACTTAAAACAAGTTATTAAGGGAGGATCAGCAATATTTACTCTATAAGTAGTTGTTTCATCATATTGATATATTTTTTGAAAAGCTTTAGTAATAATGCCCCCATCTCTACATGAGGTTACATTAGAGCCTGCCTAGTGTAGTATCTCAGCTGTCTGAGCTCTCACCTCATTAGATTTAGCTCAGAAGACAAAAGTATAAGTAGTTAGAAGCTAGAGTGAATTTCACAAAGCAAATGGACTAAAGCTTTAAAATGTTATTTAAGTAGAAATCACATGAAAGCTTCTCTCAGCCTGTTTATACTTTAATTTTATGTACTATTTTAGCAATCTTGGTTCTTCCCACACCTTTACGAAACCCGAAGGAAAACAGAAACTACATAGTGGGAGACCAGGATGGGATTGGTATGAGAAGGTACTGAAAGTGGAAAAAATCCAGAGGTTAGGAACAACAGTGTAGCACAAAGATGCCGTGGACATCTCCATACAGCAGTCTAGCATAAGAATGGAACATATTAATGAGAACCTTCAGTTGTCAAAAAAAAAAAGCGAACTGATACCCAGTTCTGTTTCTAGTCAAGCATGTGCAGAATGCCTTATAGAAGCTTTGAGTCTGCCCCGTCTTTGTTGGATGGTTGTCATCACTGGGAACATTCTAAAGAGGTCATTTTTGCTGAGATATTTGTCAGGCACAAATATCCCCCTCCACCTCCCCCTGAAAGGAATCTAAGACAGTCATCGGAATAACACAAGGATGTGTATGTGTAGTTGAAAGTTCCAGTTGAATGGGATAGATAAGTGCTGGGGGTTGATAACCAGGGAGCGATTCCTGAGCCTGGTGGTGACCAGGTGATGCTGGTCTATAAAGGATGGACGGGACTGGGGTGCAGGGGCAGGGCATTCCAGGGAGAAGCATGGTAGTAGCAGACGTGGCAGGGTTGGCATTTACCAGGAAAAGATTGAGTGAGTGGGCAGGTGGGGTTTGCTGTCTTTGGAAAAGCTAAAAATGTGCTCACTCTGTCTGGCTGTGGGTTTTGGAATTTATTACATAGGCAATGGAGAACCAGTAATTAAAGGTGTTGAGCCAGAGAGTTGCCTTCGTGGAAGTCCATGGTGGAATATTTGGAATGTTTGCGAGAGGCGATAGCCAGTTGTCAGTCTGTGATAGATCTTTTGGTGGAGGTGAGCTATTATAAGAACTTGACTTTAAGGTGGTGCAGTAGGAGCAGAAAGGGAATGGGAATTCTCCCTCTGTGTGTATATATACAGAGGTCACTTTTCCTTTATCTCAAGCAAAAGAAAAAATTGGTTCTCCACTAAGCAGAAATGAAACAGGGTTGAAGACATAGGACCTCATAGCTTCGTTCCCCGTTAAGATATGCTTTTCCTTCCCGAGAGAAACCAACCTTGTCAAGACATTTACCCTTTCCCCTGGGTCTACCTGGGAAAGATCTTCCAAAGTTTGGGTTCTTGCGGGTTGAAGGAGGTGGAGCGCAAAGGATAAGGAATTGGACCATAATGTTCAAACTATTTTTTTTTCTTCTGCTTTGCTCCCTTCCCATTGCAGAAAAGATAGAGGAGATCTACAAAGCTTTTATCAAAGAGTCTGGAATCCAGTTCAGTGAGCTGGAGGAGCAGGTGCTTCAGTTCCATCTCAGTAACCTGGAATATGCCTGTGGCAGCAACCTTCATCAGGTGGGCTTGGAACATGCTTCTTTCTGTGTGTGTGTGTTCACATATCGAAATGTTGAGCCCGCGATGGTCTGGATAACAGAGTTCCACGGGTCTGCTGCTTACAAGTCCCCAAACCACAACTTTAGAGTGTATGAACCCTATGGTGGTTTTGAACAAAAAATTCTTTAAAGCAGGAGAAGCCTTTCTGCAAATAGTGACTTTGAAGATGCTCACTCTGTCAACCTGAAGGCTGGAAGGCTGTTGTGCTGAGGGGGAGGGGTCATGGGCCTGTGTCTGCCCACTGCCCTCTTCGGGGGGGCCCTCAAGGCGTGCCTGTGCAACAAGGGGCTGAAAACACTGCTGTTAAGAAACCAGAATAGAGCATCTTTGCAATTAGGATCTGTTCATCTTGCTAAATTAAATTTAAAATTGCATGGGTCGGGACGTTCCTCTAGAGAAGGGAATGGCTACCCACTCCAGTGTTCTTGTCTGGAGAATTCCATGGAGCCTGACAGGCGACAGTCCATGGAGTCACAAAGAGTTGGACACAACTGAACAACTAACTTTCACTTTTCAATTCATGTCACCAGCTCTGATCATGCGACTTGGATATGCTGCACCATTGAATCACAGTTCTGTGGATGATCTCCGACTTAATTATCCTCTATGGTAGGGGTGGGGGAGGGACAAAAATTGATGTTTGCATTCAGTGATTCTTTGCAATTGGAATAACACTTTCCCAAAATCATGCTGCATTTCAGCTTCTATGGAATTCCCATGTTGAAGACATCTAGATGGCATATTTCTATATGGAGTTGATCAGATGCAGGAATTGTCCTTTTCCATAGAATTGTCCTTTTCCAGTGTTGTTGATGTATAATACATCTTTTTGTCAGGGAGTGGTACCCATGGCCAAATCATATCTACATTTTGTACTAAAATAAGCTTTCCTGTGCATTACTGAGAAATTTCCTTCCCCTGGCAGCAGCATCCACCTGGCCTTATCTGTTCATCCGTCACTCCCCGCTTCCTTCCTGTTTCACCCTCTGTCCTCCTGCCTGGGATGGCTTTCCCCACCCTGGGTTCCTTTTCTTGTCCCTTAGGTGCAGGCTGCAGGTTTTCCACCACCTGTTGTTTTCCAACCTCTCCTGGTGTTTCCCAGGTGTCTGCTCGCTCCTGGGACCACAATGAATTCTTTGCCCAGTTTGCGGGTGACCACACCCTCCTCACTCCCGGATACTCCGTCATCTTAGAAAAACTGGCCGAGGGACTGGACATCCGGCTCAGGTCTCCCGTGAGTGTCCACAGCGGTGGGTGGCTCGGGTTTGGTGGCATTTGGAGCATGTGAAGTTTGGGACATGTAGGTTACATAGCAGACAGGCGCCTGCTTTGACGTTCAGCCAGTGTCTCCAGGTACTTTTTATACTATGATCAGTTGCATTATCTTTGTCGATTAGGTAGCTGCTGTTGTTGGAAACAATAGTGACTGAGATGGACTTTTATTAATAATCAAGCGTTTGGGTGGCTCACCACCTCCCTGACCCAGCGTGGTTCTTTTCACACTTAAATTTTCCCCTCAAATATATTGTACATGGTTATAATCATAGAGGCAATTACATATATGTGTCTGTATTTCACCTTACACGATGTTGTAAAGATTTTTCTATATTCTGACATAGTGTTTATAAATTTTAATGACGGAGTGAGAGTTCCCTGAAGGAAGCGATAACTGTTTAGTTCTTTGAATGCCAGGAAGTGGTTTCCCATAGCCTTGGAAATGTAAACTCCCATCATAAGAGAATTGGAGAGGACCCCAGATTGTGTGGTTCCATCCCTCATTATGTTTTCCATAATTGCTTTTCTTGAGCAGGTACAGAGTATTGACTATTCTGGAGATGAAGTGCAAGTTACCACTACGGATGGAACAGCGTGTCCAGCTCAGAAGGTAAGCACTGTGCTTCCCCTGGGTGCTGCCAGTGGCCTGGGAGTGAGAGAGACCAGGCTTTTCCACCGAGTGGCTTGCCTTTAGCCATCTCCCTGGAGCCTTATTTGACCTCTGAAGAATTCTATATCTCCACTAGTGGTGTGTGGATGTACAAATCGGATTTAATTATTTGACCAGCATATAGATTCATGGCAGATGGAATTCTGGGTAGTGCTGCATTAGTTCTGAGAGTTGAACAAGAAAAGAAATTCTTTGACCAAACAAGTTTGTAAGTATGATATATGAGTCTACGTTTCAAGTTAAATAAGAACATATTAAAGGCTCTGAGAAGTCCTGCATTTTAGCAACCTGTTTTTCCTTTGTTTAATTCAGTGGTTTCTAAGTGGGTGGTGTGTTTGTTTCTGTACCACAGAACCTTTTTTCAGATCAAGAACACTGGTGTTTTTATCTTGAAACTGGCAGAAGTACTTTTATATCATTTGAATTTTTTGTAAACAACTTTAGTAGGTGGACTGTGAATGGTGCTGTAATGTAATATAAGAAATCACATTGAGATTTCTGTAGTGTTGGAAAACAAAGTGTTGGGGGTGGAGGGGGCTTAATAACCCCCATAGATTTATTTAATTATGTCTGAAGTGTTTACCGAAAAGTATAACTGATGAACTATCACTGGTTCCTAGACTAGCTGTGTTTTATGCTTTTCAGTTAACTAAAAATATTTCATAGTCCTTGGTATTCATACAGAAATGACGGATTGCATGTCAAATGGGAAAGACAGGGTAGTGTATAATTCCAGGGGGGATGGAATAATTCCTCATATTGTTCCTGCCATTAATTAGCTAGGTAGTGAGTATTGGTCGTATAGACTTTGGACTAGCAGTACTTCTCAGCCCTGGCTGCACCTCTGAATCACCTGTGGTGCTGGTTTAGTCACTGAGTCATGCCCGATTCTTTGCGACTCCATGGACTGTAACCCACAGGGCTCCTCTGTCCATGGGATTTTCCAGGCAAGAATAGTGGAGTGGGTTGCCATTTCCTTCCCTGGGTAGAATCACCTGGGAGGTGCTTAACAAGAAAGGTTACAAAGTCCCACCCCACATAGGTTCTTGCTGAACTGGTCTGGTTGTGTTTTAAAAGCTTCCCAAGTGATTCCAACATGTGACAGAGTTGAAAACCACTTGTCAGTAGCATCCATATTTGTGACTCCCCAGGTGAGAATCAGGCCAATATCTAGTATTCCTCCTAATGGTAAAAAAAATTTTTTTAAATACTGCCTTATAAATTGCAGGCTTCTCCTGTGGCTCAGATGGTAGAGAGTCTGCCTGCAATGCAGGAGACCTGGGTTCAATCCCTGGGTTGGGAAGATCCCTTGGAGAAGGGCATGGCAACCCGCTCCAGTGTTCTTGTCTGGAGAATCCCACGGACAGAGAAGCCTAGTGGGCTACAGTTCATGGGGTCACTATAGACTCAGACCCGATTGAGTGACTAACACACACAGGCCTTATAAAATTGCAAGTCAGCTCATGGCTCAGGACCACATGCTAGGTGTGCTAACCCTGCTGTGTCACCCTCTGCCTGACCCTGACCTGGCCCATTTGCTCTTTTTCTTTGTATTCTGGCTTTTAGAGAAATTAGAGTGGCGTTTCAGGCTGTGACTCAAAAAGCCTGCTCTGAAATGATGAAAGCAGATATTTTTAGTAGTCAGCACACATCACAGTTTCAATTGGAAGTTACCCCAGCTTACAAGTGAAAGATTTCCAGCCCAACAGGGTGCATTGATAAACACTTGACAAAATGTGAACGGTTCATTATTTCCCACAGGTGTTAGTCACTGTGCCGCTGGCTTTACTGCAGAAAGGTGCCATTCAGTTTAATCCACCGTTGTCAGACAAGAAGATGAAGGCCATCAACAGCTTAGGAGCAGGCATCATTGAAAAGGTGACTGAATTACGTAAGCCTGGCAACTAGAGAGATGAGTATCAGATGACAGGGATTCCCAAACCTCTGGTATTGGGAAATAGGTGATTTTTGAATCCACGTCACATTCAAAGACTCCCTCTTCCTTTGAGTAATTGTTCCTGAAGAATTCAGAAGGATATTATCAAAACAAAAAGAGGAGAGCGGACTGAGCTCTGCAAGTTTTGATTCAGGAGAAAGACTTTTCATTATTCAGGATTTGAACTGGGTATATAAACAAGCAATTCTTTTTTTTTTTTTCCTGCTTTCCATGTCTACACTTCACTAGTAGTAGTAGTTTAGTCGCTAAGTCGTGTCTGACTCTTGCGACCCCCCCAGGGACTGTAGCCTTCCAGACTCCTCTGTCCATGGGATTCTCCAGGCAAGAATACTGGAGTGGGTTGCCCTTTCCTTCTCCAGGGGATCTTCCTGACCCAGGGATTGGATCCCGGTCTCTTTGCATTGCAGGCAGATTCTTTACCAACTGGGCTACCAGGGAACCCCTAGTACACTTCACTAATTAACCCCAACCAGGAGAGGGTTTCACTTCCTTTGCCTTGAAAAACTGCTTTAGCAGAATCTGCCAATGCTGCAGTAGGTACCAGCAGACTTATGAGTAGTAAGACTTTTATCTCCTGAACGTAAGCTTCAAGACTAAGTCTCAGCAGTGCCCTGCATCTTCGGATTAGCCTAGAGGTTGTCAGTGGGTCCCACCATTATCCGTGGGAGGACAGGACTGAATGGTATTAAAAAACAGATGGTCACAGGGAGAACAAAGGATAGAAGAACGGAAAGGGAGTATGTTTGAGTTTTTTGGAACATCTTTTTTTTTTTTTTTTAAAACATAAGTATTTAAGAGCTATGGGTGGCTTCTTAGAGATTGCCACACTTTTGATTTCAGTGAACTCTTAATAACCACCTTTCTCTTGCTTGCTTTCCAGATTGCCTTGCAATTTCCTTATAGGTTTTGGGACAGTAAAGTTCAAGGGGCTGACTTTTTTGGTCACGTTCCTCCTAGTGCCAGCAAGCGAGGGCTTTTTGCCGTGTTCTATGACATGGATCCCCAGGTAAAGTCATGGGTGTTAGACCATGGTTTGGATTCCCTTGTTAACAGTTTAGAATTTGGTTTGGTAGTTACTTCCGTGTCAAGCCCAGGAACTAATGGACATTGCAGACACTCTGGATGTCTGTCTGTATGCTGGGGGGACACTTGCAGGGCATGTCTTCCTGTAGGAAAGGAGCCCCGTATCTCTCATATAGGACTAATGTTGGTCCCTGGGAAATGAATTCATTGCCATGGAAGTGGAAGAATTCTTCCTGATGGAAAAATACCTCTTAGGGAGAATTGGTGATAGCACAGTAATGAATGGTACTTGAAATATTCTCCCCAAGGATCCTCCAGGGGGGAGAGGGGCAGGTATGATTGGCCCACATGAGGGTGGGTCTGGGATTCACTAGATGTGATTGATTGGGGGAGGAGGACTGAGGAGAGGACTTTCACCTGGGCTTGGAAGTGATGGTTGTGCTGATGTCCTGCCAAAGCCTCACAGTTGTTTTTCCTCCTGCCTGTCTGTCCCAAGACACTTTATTTTCAAAGGTTCCACATGGGAGCCAAGAGCAGAATGTCCTTACTGTTCAAGAAGGGTTCTCCCCCCCATTATTATAGCTGCAGACTTCCCTTCTCAATCTCATTCCATTTCTTCTAAAACAAGTTCTTAGAAGGGAAAAGCCAAGAGAACCTGGAGGTTTGATACGTACATGACTTCTGGAGTTTTTCCAGCAGGGAACAATCAAATGCATAAATGAAGGTGGGTGGTCTGGGTCACAAGACAGTAGGAAATGATGACACGTGACCTGTGAGGATGAGGGTCACGTCTATTGCGTTGGGCAAAAGGTCATTCGGGTTTTTGCATGAGGTCAGATGGAAACACCCGAACGAACTCTTAGGCCACCCCAGTGCTTAGGCCCGCGCGTCTGGAGACTTGGGTCCGCAGAGCCCAGCATGTAAAGCGCCTTTCCCTGTCACTTGTCCAGAAGCAGCACAGCGTGTTGATGTCGGTGATCGCGGGGGAGGCAGTGGCGGCCGTCCGGAACCTGGAGGACAAGCAGGTGCTGCAGCAGTGCATGGCCACCCTGCGCGAGCTCTTCAAGGAGCAGGTCAGACACACACTCTTTGAAAAGAGAAACATGCTTATCGCTAACTTCCCGTGCTCTTCAGGGTGGCGCGGACCCAAAGCAAATCCATTCATACCAAGCACGAAGGGGCTCAGGGCCACGGGCCGCAGTCTTCCTCTCTCTTAATATCCAAGTGTTACTCGGCCGTGACCGACTCTTTGCGACCCCATGGACTGTATGTAGCCCGCTAGGCTCCTCTGTCCATGGGATTCTCCAGGCAAGAATACTGGAGTGGGTTGCCATTCCCTTCTCCAGGGGATCTTCCTGACCCAGGGATCGAACCTGGGTCTCCCACATTGCAGGCAGGTTCTTTACCATCTGAGTAAAGGGAAGCCCCAACTTTCCACTGAAGTAACTGCATTAGTTTACCTGGGCCACCGTGACAGACTGCACGGCTGGATAGTCCAAGCAACAAAAATCCATCGCCTCACAATTATGGAGGCTGGACACTAGATCGACGGGGTGGGGGTGGGGGGTTGGTCTCCCCTGAGGCCTCCCTCCTTGGCTCACAGATGGCTGCTTCCCCCATGTCCTCCTGCTGTCTTGCCTCGGTCTATGCCGTCTTTGTTCTAATCCTCTCTTCTTAGAAGGGCACTTGGCATCCTGGGTTATGGTCCACCTGAATGACGTCATTTTGACTTACCTCATCGAAGTCCTGTCTCAAATAGAGTCGCCTTCTGAGGTTCTGTGGGTTAGGGTTTCATCATCTGAAGTTGAGTAGGGGACACAGTGAAGCTCATAATAGTACCCCATTCCTCCTTTAACTTTCTTCCTTTTTTTCCTTACATCATGCACACCCCCTTTCTCTCCTCAAGAGGGAAAAGACTCAGCATTTTCCACTGATACTATATTTGGGTATCCTGTTCCCAAACCCTAGCAAGCTTTGACAGCAGTTTTCCATTCAAAGGGACCTTGTCCAGAATTTTCTTGCACCCCCACCACTAGTCTCTTTCCCTTTTCTCCAAGAAGCTCAAGGTACTTTCTATTCTCCAGTTTACTAAATCTCACCATCTCTGGAGATTTATAAATGGCATGATGTATATCTTTTTTCCAATAAAGGAGCAGAGTAGAAAGAAGAGAAATGACTCAAAACATAAAGTACCTTAGAAAGAGGGGGGCCCTCGGGGTATTGCTTACTTTACATGGTGCAGTTTTCTCTCACATTAGTCCCTCGCCTGGGACTTTTGTCTCAAAATTCGTTTTCAAATCAGTTATTTGGAACTTAGCACACAGTTTGCACAGAAATCTGTTTCACGGTGGCGCTTGGCAGTGGTCAGCCTACAGAATTATCTGAAACTTAAGAGTGAAACATGACTGGTGTAGCTGTTCTGTGGAGAAGCCTGTTGAGAATTCCAGTCAGAGGTCCTCAGACCCTGCCCGTCCCTCCCCTCCTCTGGTCCAGCGTGTTCCAGGTGATGAGAAGGGGAATGTGTGTGTACGTTAGTTGCTCAGTCATGTCCGACTTCACGACCCCATGGACTGTAGCCCGCCAGGCTCCTGTCCATGGAATTCTCCAGGCAAGAATACTGGAGTGGGCTGCCACGCCCTCCTTCAGGGGATCTTCCCAACCCAGGGATGGAACCTGGGTCTCCTGCATTGGCAGGCAGATTCTTTACCGTCTGAGCCGCTGGGGAAGCCCCAGGGAAGAGGAATACCTGGACTCTTAGCCTTTGGTGATGACCCCTGGTAGGTGGGGAAATTGTCTCTGGCAGAAGGACAAGGTGTTGAAGTGAGGAGACGTGTGTGTTGGGGAAGGTCAGAAAGATGGGGCAGCAATAGAGGAAGAGACACAGATACGGAGCCTTGGGCAGAGCAACGGGCGGGCAGGAGGGTCATGCTGGGAACTGCTGTCCCAGAATGCCACAGGGATTAACTCACTTTCCGGATGGCGGGAGGGCTGTAATTTTAGAACGGTTGGGTTGCATCCAGTCCAAGTCACTTCCGATCCTTCTGCTCGACACAGGAGGTCCCAGATCCCAACAAGTACTTTGTCACCCGCTGGAGCACGGACCCCTGGATCCAGATGGCATACAGCTTCGTGAAGACAGGGGGCAGCGGTGAGGCCTACGACATCCTTGCTGAGGAAATACAAGGAACCGTCTTTTTTGCTGGCGAGGTGGGTTTCGTCACTCCACCCCGCTTGCTTTCATTTGGATCACTTGCTTTTAGCTGAAGTGGTTTGCGTTCAGAGCTTAAAAGCGACGTCAAATACCGTCAAAAGTCTTAGGGCAACGAACGGCAGGTACCCTGACAACATCCTCCTCAAACTCCCTGAGCAGCCATTTTTAACTCTTTTTGCTGTTTTCTTCTGGAGTTTACATCATGCCTTAAGATCTTTACATTGTTGTCTTTGGATTTAAGAAGTTAAGACATTACCTCCAGACTTCCTGTCAGGTTAAAGACTTAGCCTGTTTGATCTCTTCCGTCTGTTTACTTCACAATTCAATTTTAAATTGGTGTCAGTGCTTATGTGATGTGGTTGCTTACTGCTGAGCCAGGAAGGCAACCGCGATTCTTTTCTTACACAGCTGTTTCCTCTTCAGTCATAGTAGCTTCTTTTTTCATTAGCTTAACTATTTTTCTGCTGCTGCTGCTGCTAATTTGCTTCAGTCGTGTCTGACTCTGTGCGACCCTATAGACGGCAGCCCACCAGGCTCCTCCGTCCCTGGGATTCCCCAGGCAAGAACACTGGAGTGGGTTGCCGTTTCCTTCTCCAGTGCACGCATGCTAAGTCGCTTCAGTGGTGTCTGACTCTGTGCGACCCCATGGACAGCAGCCCATCAGGCTCCTCTGTCCATGGGATTCTCTAGGCGAGAATACTGGAGTGGGTTGCCATTTCCTTCTCCATAACTCTTTTTATACCGCTCCTTAAGCCTCCCCACTTTTTGTTGTTGTTAAGCCATGCCTGGGAATCTAAATCTCCCAACCAGAGATCCAACCCATGCCTCCTGCAATGGAAACACAGAGTTGCAGAATCCTAACCAGTGGACTACCAGGGATGTCGCAAGCCTCCCCACTTTGAGTCCTCTCTAGTTCATAGTTGAATCCCTATAGACGGCCTGTAGGTTCCATTCCTTGAAACCCCCTTTCCTGACACCTTCTCTTTGCTCTGGTTTATCTTGGGGATTCCTGCAGATCTGTCCTTCCAGGATTCCTCCTTACCACTTTCCAGGGTTTGGGTTCACACTTCCTAGATCCCTGTTTTCAGTATTTATTTTTAAAATTAATGGTAAACAAAAAAAAGATTTCTGGGGTTGAATTAGTTTGCTTTCGCTATTCCCCATCACCCGTTTCCCACCCTCCACATCCATCCAGTTCATCAAAATACAGTAAATTCTCAGCACTCTTTCATCTGTCTTCATACCCTAATACAGTTTAGGATTATATAGTTCTCCTTGATTCATCTAAAATAGTGTTTTTAATATTTTCTTTTCAGGGCTTTTGAATTATTACAAAGGAATTATCATTTTAAAACCAGCTGACTTTGATTTCCTCTTTGGCCTGTAAAGCACCAACTTTGTAGGAAAAGAGCATAATGGTTGCATTCCAGGCCACAACTGTCGACTGCTTCCAAGAGATGGTCCTAAGAGGGCCAAAGGGCCATGAACAGGCTTTAGAATTTTTGACTTTTCTTTGCTGCTTTGATACAATTGCTACCTCAGTTGAGTCGTTCAGTTGTGTCCGACTCTTTGTGACCCCATGGCCTGCAGCACACCAGACCTTCTTCTCCATCACCAACTCCGAGTTTAAACTCACGTCCATTGAGTCGATGATGCCATCCAATCACCTCATCCTGTCGTCCCCTTCTCCTCCCACCTTCAGTCTTTCCCAGCACCAGGGTCTTTTCCAGTCAGTCAGTTCTTCACATCAGGTGGCCAAAGTATTGGAGTTTCAGCTTCAGCATCAGTCCTTCCAGTGAATATTCAGGACTGATTTCCTTCGGGATGGACTGATTGGATCTCCTTGCAGTCCAAGGGACTCCAGTTGCTGCCTCAACTTCTTATAAAAGGGCTTCCCCGGTAGCTCAGTGGTAAAGAATGTGCCTGCAGTGCAGGACACCCAAGTTCAATTCCTGGGTCAGAAAGATCCCCTGGAGGAGAGCATGGCACCCACTCCATTATTCTTGCCTGGAGACTCCCATGGACAAAGGAGCCTGGCGGACTACAGCCCATAGGGTTGAAGAGTCAGACACGACTGAAGTGACCAAGTACTTCTTGTAAAACCCATTTCTTTTGACGTTTCTTTTACTCTGCTACTCTTTTCCCCTGAGTAATGGTGTTCCCCCTGACCTCCTGATCATCCTCCCACTTATTAAAGTCTTTGGCACCGGGATGTTTTTCCATTTCATTCCAGCATCAGTTTGGGTGACACAGAACCTAAATTCACGTAGAACTTCATGTTTCTTATATTCCCTTTTCTCTGACCTACTTGACTACATTTAGCTATCTCCCATAATCACATCCCAGACTCTGTCTTGGTTGCATGCATGCTCAGTCGCTTCAGTCACATCCGACTCTTTGGGACCCCATGGACTATATATGCCAGGCTTCTCTGTCCATCGAATTTTCCATGCAAGAATACCTAACAACAAGGACAGAAAATACCCAACAGTTGTAAATCCAAGCCTGACTTTCCTGACCTCATTTATTTGTTCTCTTCCCACTATAACCTCCTTGCAGGTGAGGTTCTGCTGATAGTCCTCACCTTTTGTCTTTCCCCTTGTTACCTCTTCTTGTTAATACCCATCCAGCAAAACTCCAGCCAAGGATGAACTGATTCACTTCTTGTGCTCGTTTTGACTTACCACTGATTACTTGTCTGATGGGAGGGGGCTGTGTCTTAGTCATTATTCTTAACTCTAGTACCTGGCATACATAATACCTTCATGAATGTCACAGAACTTCACACGAGTGCTGACTGTGTAGAATGAATTTGGTGAAACATGGTGAGATAAGCCAGAAATGTTTAGGTCCTGTGATGGGTGAGTTGAGTGTTCCTGTGAGCACACAGGAGTGGCAACATTTTAGGAGGATGGGAGGAAAAGTATAAGTTCGTATTATATTTTGATGTTTTTATAGTCATCTAAATTTCTTATACATGATCTCGAATTATAATTTTTTTTTTTTTAAACAGGCAACAAACAGGCATTTTCCACAAACTGTTACAGGGGCATATTTGAGTGGTGTTCGAGAAGCAAGCAAGATCGCAGCATTTTAAATAGAATTTGTTTGGACGCAGCTTTCTTCTGTATCCCAAATGGAAAGGTTTGAAAAACATGTTAGACCTCATTTTGATAAAATCAAACAATCCTCTCTAGGTAGCAAAACTGAAATGTTCCAAGGTGGTATGGTAATATAAACCAGTTTTTACCATTCTGAAAGCATGGGTTACAAGAATCCTTTTATAAGCACTTATATTTAATAGCATTTTCCTTTGGTCTGACTAGTGCTAAATGTTCCAATTTCAGAGTAAGGCAGAATATAACCTTCAGGTATGACCTTGGATATGATTCTTCCATGGTAAAGAGAATCCCTTGAAATCTGACTTTTTTTTTGGCTGACCAATTTTCACACATTGAAAAACCAAGTCAAACAGGAATCATTAAAAAAAAAACACAAAGCCATGTACTTCTGTGACAATTTATCAGTATATTTGCCAATGAGCCTTAAGATTTTTATATAGTTCTAATATTGAGCTTTTACTTAAATTTAGATAGAAATCTTCCCTTTTTGGATACAGTACAAACTCTTCCAAGGTAAATAAAACTTCTATTTTATATTGTACGTATTTCCTCCCATTAGGTGTTCAAAAGAAATTTAAATTCAGGTATCTTTTATAATAAAACATATTAGATCTGTGCACTCATTGGCAAAATTTTCGATTCAACAATACAGGTGTGGTACCACTGAGAATGGAGAAGAGAGTGTGGTCTTCGTCCTTTAGACACAAAATATGGCTATTTTCCTTAGAGCCATGTTTGTGCAGATGGGACACTTTAAATAGCCTTAACTTTGGCAACCACTAGTAAAAGGGTCAGAATAATTTAATAGAAGTCTCTCCCTACTGCCTCTTTTTAAAATAACTGATTAAGTCTCTAGGAATATTTTTTATAGAATTGTTTTCAGTATTCCATAGGCAGGTCCACTGGAAAACTGCAGAAAAATGTGAAATATCATGGGATAAATATTACACATTTTATAAGCCATATCTTAAAAGCCTGAGAACATAGTAAATATTTACTTTTTCCTTCTTTCACTCATGACAAAAAATTAAACACTGATTTCAGGGTCCTCAGGATGCCCATCTTGCCAAGAAACTTCAGTTTACAGGTTAGAAATATGGGTAACTTCAGTGCTTTTGTTTTAAAAAGTCTTTGAAGAATTCTTTCAGTATGTTGGTCAGCTTAAAAAGGACTCAAAATGACTTTGAAACCACTTTTCAAAATATTAGGTATTTTTAAAGCCAGGTTGTAAGTAGAAATTGTATTTTATGCAAAGAATATATCGTGAACTTTAGAAAGAACTTAAGACATACCTCCTTCCCCAGAAGTATGATACAGCTGAAAGAAAGCAAACAGCAGTAAATTGGTTTCAAAGTTAACAGGAAAAGGTTGATACTTAGGGTTATCTAAGGAAAGTCATTGGTACTGATTGGGAAGTATTCTGCTTCAAGTGTTTCCTGTATTAAAACGTTTTAATAGTATGTGTCAAGTGATAAATGCAAAACACTTTAAGTTGAAATGGTTCACAGTCCATCATTACTTTGGTTTCTGGGCACTTAAACTTGTATAGTGCTATAAGCAAACAAGGAGGGAGACCTACCTAAAGAAAGTACAGTACATGTGTATTTTTAAAAAACCCCTCATTTCCTGTCTCAAGTGACATCACCTAACATTTTGTTCTTTAAGGAGCCACGGTAATTTTTTTTTCTTGAGTATGTTTTTCACTGCTACCTGAAGATTTTGTTTAATAGCAGTGGATGTGTTTTAACTGCAGACTGTGAACAGCTGATTGTGTAAAACTGTTTAATAAAACATGTTTTTCAAATACATTGTGCACTACAGTGATGAATACACACTCAGCAGATACATCTTCACCAGTCTTTCACACACACCAACTCAATCCCTTCAACCTCCAAACCTCTTTAGACTGTGCAGGTCCTAGGCATTATACTGTGTATCCTTTCAAGTGAATGATCACAGATAAGTTAAGTCTGACCAACTTAGTTTTGTGAGAGCACAAACCACCCCCGCCCCGCCCAGATTTCTTTGTAATGTATTTTTTCAAAGTAAAAGCAATCAATTACCAGTGATGAGCACTCCAAATTATATGGGCTACAAGGCTAATAAATCCATTAAAAAAATTTCTATTCTGAAATACATGTTAACATATCAAATGCAAAGAGACAGAGGCATTGATTTATTGTTTTTATTGACAAGGTTTATAGGAACAAATCAAGTATTTAAAACCAAAGGCCAGTTCTCAAGTCTCATTTAGTTGTTTATTTCACTCATTTGTATTAAGTATACCTTTCTTTAATATCTTAACTTTATCAAGAAACAAGTCAAACCTGTGAAAATACCTGTTAGCAGTCAACGTATTTTTATATATTTCTGTACTATGATGCAAAGATACTTTAAACACTCATTGGTTCATCAAAGGCCTAATTCTCACATAAGCAGCAGTTTTAAAATTCAGAGATTATTTAATAAATTGATAAGACAATCAAAAGACAAAATTAGTCTCAATTCAGGAGTGGTCCATGTGTTGATCACCTAGAATCCTGATTGGCCAAAACTTAACACCCCTGATTCTGTGAATATGTTACCTTTCTTTAATGTTAGAAATAAGTCCATCACTTTTGAAAAATACTTTGTCAGATACCCACTACTGTCTATGCATTATCATCTTCTGGCATTACAGTTGATACTTTCAACCATAATTACAAAGGTGGCCAGATTTCCTGTAAATACCAGCTTTTTATGTGGGCAAAAGCAGTTAATAATAAAAATCAGTATATTTATTTGAAGCCAAATGTGCTTCTACTTGATCCAGATCCCCCCAATTTTTGAAGTTTTGATGTGTTGATTTCGGTCTACCCTTAATATAAAATGTATCTACAGACACTTGCAGAGTTAACACTAAAACTATAAATTGATGACACTTCAAGGCAAAGCAGAGAACTATCTATTGCTTCAGTGTTTTCTTCACTGAATTCTGACTTCCACTGCTCCGTCATACCATCTGGCTGAACACTGTCGTTTCATAGTTTGTAACTGTAAAGATACCTACTTATATGAGTTTAAAAATTTATCTGCACAAAAGAAATAAAAAAACTTTATATACAACAAATTCGTTTTTAAAAATACAAAAATAACATCTGTCACTCTGGTCATGCTGACAATTTGACATATATATACATGCAGAAGAAAAGTTCCAATTTAGTCATCTGGGCAGCTGAAGCTCATATATTTTTAACATGATGAACACACCGCCACTGGTTTTAACACTGACAGATGTGTATTCAAAATATTTCATCTACTAAATACTGCAACAGTCTCTGCATGTATAAATGCCAATTACCATAGTTTCTGTTCTACTTGATTAAAAGTATGACTTAAGCTAATAGTACACACGTACACTAAAAACTACAACAGTTCAAGAATCTAGTCTTATATAAAGAAATCCAAAATGTACAAAATACAACTATAAAAGCAAGGGACAATTACTGTAGCCATGCAAAAATTTAAAACTAAAAACTGCATAAAAATGCAATTTAAAATGGCAAACGCAATTCACCTAACACTCAAGATAAAAAGGTCAGCAGGAAGTTCTACCAACAATGCTTGCGAAGATTTAGAAAAGGAAATACATTCTCTTTGCTGGTATAATGGTATATAAGTCAGATCTTTAGCTCCATGGGCACAGGTCATCTGTCTCTGTCCTCTTTCTCAAGAAATCAGCTGTAACAAAAGAGAAAACACTTCCTCATATCCAAAATACAGTATGTGGTACACATAAATCAAAACCTCACTTTATTTTTTAACTTCTACCTTACTACTGTGACCTTGGGAAATCAGCTGGGATCAATATAAGACTACAGCTACTGCTGATTTTCTCCTGCCTTTAACTGGTGGACAGGAAGGAACATGTGCTCAAGTGGTCGCGTGAGCTCCTTGGAGCTGGCTGCCTGCCCATGTACACAGAGCCGTATCTTCATCTGAGGCCAAGTTTTGTCACTAATGTTCTATTTTTAAGCTCTAAAACGGGGATGAAAATTATATTTTCCTATCTATTTTGAGGAAATTTTGAGCAACAAATCATGACATAAATATTTTGAAAAATATGCAGTATAAGTCTAAAATGATAAAAACTGGAAAAGTTGGATATAGTTACCTCTTTAACAGTTGTTTTTATGAACTCTTTTCTTTCAGTTAAGTCATAAGCAGGGTAATTTTCATATACCTATAGTGAAAAGGGAAAACAAAAGTAGATTTAAAAACCCAATAATATTCTCTTTGGATAATGAAGAAATCTGTGCTATGGACAAAGAGCTACATGTAGCTTTGAACAGTACATGCTGACCACCAATGGTTCATTCACCATGTAGAATTCTACAGCAAATGAGTAGTTTTAATAATACTGTATATAGAGTAGAAAATAAACTAGCGTGCAAACATTCTCAGTTTTATATAGTAGTACAGCTGAGTTAACAATAAACATGCATGAGGAAACCATCTAGAAAGATCTTAGTTAAGTGGATTAAATTCTTTATATTGGTAGGTTACCTGTCATTTTTTAAAGGTATCCTTTTTTCTCTGTTACAGCATCTAACACGTTTATGATTCCTCAACTTCAACTCTGGTGAATTTCAGCCTCCACATCACTGTTCCATCCCTTCCCCGAAGCTATTATCACTGAGATCTAGTTAAATCTTTGAGTCCACTCCTAAATTTTTAGCCTCTAGACTTCTCAATCTGATACTTGCTACTTGGTTTCACAATGACTTCTAGTCCTGACCTGCCCATACACACCTGGCTGGCTTCACTCCTATCGTACAATTCAAGGTCAGCAAACGTTTTCTGCAGAGGGCTAGACGTGATCTCGGCTTTCCAATGACCGTTTCGGTCACAACTACCCAGCCAGGCCACTGCAGCACAGATGGTCCTGCAGGTGATCCTCAGAGGAGCGGGTACAGCTGTGGCACAGTGGCCCACAGGCTGTATTTTGCCAACCTCTGCGAACATGGTCAATCATTTCCATTACTCTAACTGATTGCCTTTTGTTCTTTCTCTGCAAAACTCCAACCCTTAATTTGTCTTAACTACCAATTTTCTATGGTTAAGTTCTGTAGGAAAATATAACAAATTTGAAAAGAATGGTCTTTTATCAACTATACTTAAATAAAGTTAAAAAAAGACTGGTCCTGTTTTAAGTTTGTGGTATTCAACGTCACAGCCCCCTAGAAATCCCAAGGACTTCTAATGAGGGCCCCCTTGCATTCTCACCAGCAGCAACTTCCTCTTATTTGTGCCCCACACACTTGCTCTCAGTTGAGAAGGCATTACTCTGAATTTCCTCAACTTTCTGACTTGCCTCTTCTCCAATTCATGTGTATGGGATCCATCAACAGTTCTGTCTCTACCTTTGCAGCGACCCATCTCTCAAGGCTCAGGACCTTCAGCTTCTCCTTTCTCACAACTGTCCCTTAGCCTAACACAAGCTTCCACTCTCCCTCCCTGACCTTAAAAAATATTTGATCAGCTTGTACCATTCTCCAATTTAATTAGTAACACAGAAACTTTAATTAACTTTCCTATTAATTCTCAGTCAAAGGGATAACCCTGGCATGTACCATCCTGCAGAACTGCTATTGGGCCAACAATTTTCTCTGAATTTACGGAATCCAAAAAAGCCCTCATGTTCTTCTCACCTGACCTCTCTGTTATTAATAATCCCCTTAAAATTACATAAATGTGTTCACAAAGTCATTAAAATGAACAGTACTTGTCTTCCTTTAACTTTCCTTTCAGCCTCTCCTCTCAGAGGAATCGAGCTATCAGTCTGCTATTATTCTTCCAGATCTTTAGAAATAAGTTTATATACAAACATATAAACGTGTCAATGGCAATATAGTCTTTCTGTATTTACATAACAGGGAAATACCTCTGTTTTAAAAACTTGAAAATACCTGGAAGGTTTTTCGATGTTCTTTTGAACTGCTACACAGTATTCCAAAAGTGTGGCTGTACAGTTTAAACATTTCCCTATCGAAGGCCATTTAGGTTGTTTCTGATTTTTCAGTATTACAGACAGGCTGAACATTATTGAAATCATTTTGTGTAGATGTGACTATGTCTTTAAGATAGAGACCTAGAAATGGAATTGCTAGGTTAAAGGGTACTTGCCATTTAAGTTTTAACATTATTACCTAACTATTCCCCAAAGTTGTTACAACTTACAGAGGATGTGAACACATTTCCCTATACCACTTGTAGCACCTATCCCAGTGCCTGATGTGCAGCAGAGGCTCAGCTACTGTTGAATGGATATGAGAAACAATAATTGATATCTTTAAAAAGTTAACAATAGTCCACCTTTAGTACATTTCAAATTTTAATTTCATTTTACCATAAGAAACCAGATTCTAAAATCTTCTAATCTCAACCTAGAGTATGGAATCATATTCAAGACTAGATCATTTCCTGAGAAGTATCAGAAAGAATTTCACAAAAGTTTGAGCTAAGAATCTAACCTGGAATCTAACCTTCTCATTTATCATAGTAGTACTGAAAGTAAGGTAGCCCACGAGATTCTGCTTGGTTAAACTAACATAATCTAGGGATGCATCAATAAAAATTGTTTCCAGGTTAGGAAAAAAGATTATTCCTATGCAGTTTGGAATGTATCACTTTAACTTCAGTCACTGTATACATTCTACTATTTGTTTATAAAATGACTCTAATAGGGCAGAGGTTTTGACTACTTTACTGAAAGTGGTACCCCAGTGCCTACAAGAACACCTGGCATGTAGTAGTTCTATAAATACTTGTTCAATGAATGAAAGCATGCAAGAATCTAGCTTTAACCTGAGGGATGGGTGAAAGATTTTTTTCAAATAAAAGGAAAATGATCTCAGTATCTGTCCAATTACCTCTTTGCAAATCTGCTTCATTGTGACTTCCTCCAAGTTAGCACTGGCCAATAATTTCTTTACTGTTTCCTTTAACTCTTCATCTGTAGGAGGTTTCTTCAATTTTTTAATTAAAGGTTCATCATCCGAACTATCCTCAGATTCACTTTCTAAAAGTAAGATATTTTATGACATGAAAATAAATTTTTTCTTACATAGAAAAATAAATTAATATTCAAGACAGATTAGGAAAGATTCTATAAACATTCATCAGATTCTTGAAAAGGTACTAAATTAAAAAAATTATAGATCACTGCTCTATAGTACCTATAAAACATGCACTGAAATTTTTGTCAATTTTGAAAAATGATAAACTACACAAAACTGGTATACTCCCCTCAAAGTTCTTCATAGTTTACCTATTTTTCACATATGTTTAAAAACCACACTATAGCATATTAAGTTGTAGCTTCAGGGTTGCTGAAAATGTGTCATTTCTAACATACCTTTTTTGGAACTATTTTGATTCTTCTTGGTGGTACTGCTATCCGCCTTCTTAACATTAGCACTTTTTACAGATTTTTTACTTTTAGGAGTGGCTTTCTGTTTGGGCTTTTCTCTCTTGGATGTCTTTTTTGGTGGCTGTTGGAAATAAAAACAAAGTACATACATTGATGAGTGATTAACTGCCATCCCTCTACTTGTCCATACCCCTCAACAACAGTAGAGAAACCTAACGTAGTCAATATCACCAGTGGAAAATTATTACTAACTGTCCACTTCTGAGATGAGTAACATTCAAGAAACTTAATTTTATCCCAACACAAGACTAGTCAAGTGAGGTAAAGAATCAAACTTTATAAATAATAAGTGCTCACATTTCTTACACACTATGGAGAGAAAACTTTATATGCAGAAGACTTTACTCTTGGGGGAAAAAAAACCTATAAAATATTAAGTACTATTAATATTCTGTTATTTATTGTCAATCTCTCCCAACTAAAAGGTAAGTTCCATGAGAACAAGGATTTTTTTGAACTTTTTGTGTTCACTGATGTATCCCTAACTCCTAAAATAGTGCAAAGTAGTTTCTCAGTAACTTTTTATAAACATATGAGGAAATGAAGGCTCAGAGAGGTTTTGTACAGTCACATAATAAAATAAAGATGAGAGCTTCAAACAGATCTTACTCCAGATCCTGTTTTCTTAAACACTAACTCAGAGCTAATAAAATAAAAGCAAATATACACACACGGAGATTAAAATGACAAAACTACAGTTTTTAAAAAATCTTTAGTGTGTCGGTCGCTCAGTTGTGTCTGACTTTGCAACCCCACTGACTGCAGCCCGCCAGGCTCCTCTGTCCACGGGATTCTCCAGGCAAGAATGCAGGAGGGGGTGGCCATTACTCTATGTAACAAACTCATGGTAGGAATTCTGTAAAGTATATTTTTCATAATGTAAGTGCTGGCATAGGGAAACAGTGAAAGCTGAGTAGTGACATAAACTGTAGAAACTCATGTGTTTCATCTTGAGCAGAGAGATAATTTCACATCACGTGCTTTAGCCTTACAGGTGCTAAAAACCACTTTAATTGCCCTGAAGATAAGATATTGGGTACAGGAAAAATATATTAGGAACTTCGGAAAACAGGGAATCTCAAAAAGATAGACCTTGACACTGCAACAACAGACAATTTTTGGAAGTTAAGGCAAACAAGATCACGTAGTATTTTGGAGATAATGAAAAGAGCCCCTGGGAAAACTGAGAAGGAAAGTAAAAAACCATGTCCACTTGAATTCTACACAACCTTTCAAATTTTCATTACTTTCATCCTCTCTCCTCTACTTAGGGAAATTTCACACATGAGTCTAAACCTCTCTCAGCAATCACATTCTCCAAATCTTTCATAGTACAGCCAATCTGATTAATCGGCAGCCCCCACAGTACTTGACCTACAATTCATTTGCTCTGTCTTTATGGAAGGTTTTGTGAAGCAGTGAATGAGAAAACAGGTTTTTGGAGCCAAACTTCCTGATTCAAGTCTTGACTCCATCAGTGAGCAATTTTGAATTCTCAGACAAATCACATCCTTCTTGTGTCTGATTCTGCATCTGCAAAGTAGAGGTAATAATACCAGACTTGGCTAAATTTAACATTTGCCCCCTCCCACATCTTAGATACTGGGATACATTTATAATCTACATTTAAATGATGCCTTCCAGGCACTGCAGATTCAACCAACTATGGCCATGTCTGTAGAACTTCTGTGAGGATCGAATACATAAAAGGCACCAAAGAAAACATTTAACATATTTATGTGTTTCAAAGTGTAGGGATTTACATGTCTGTTCTCCCATTACACTGCAAGTTTCTTAGGGGCCCATCTGACAATCTCCATGAGAAGAGACACCCAAATATCTAATTTAGCTCTGCCCCTAGAAACTACAAAAGCACCTGCCATAAAGTAGCCACTTCAATATTTCTGGCTATGTTCATCTCTGCATCACTTGCAGGATGTTTTATCTGTACTCTGAACCCAGAATATGGTTAAAAATTTTTTAAAAGGAGAATGAAAAAGGCATTTGTACAGCACTGCTTTCATATACACACGCTCATATGACCTAAAAAAACAACAAAGCCAAAAAAAACCCCACAATGACAAACAACTGATGAGGAAAATACATCTGTGCAGTTAAGTGAAACAATGCCTTACAGCTAGTAAGAAGCAAGACCCTGGTTAGGTCCAGTGTCCCTCCTACTGCACTAGCTGCTTACAGAGAAGACCAAAGTAGCTAGTTTTCTGTAAGCCACAGGTGAAAACTACTGAACTGACCCAGTGCAGCAAGTCAATGATACCATGATCTAATTGTTACATACAAATGTTACTGAGAATAACAAAGAATTAAAAGTGCTGGCAGAAAATACAGAAAGGCAATAAAATGTAACCAAACTCAGTATTAGGGCTATCTCTGGCCCGGTTTCCTCCAAACTCTGTATAGGCTCCAGGATCATTTCTCTAGAATCTTTTTTTTTGGTGAAGCGAAGATGGGCCTCTCATGTAATTCAGTTTTGCATCATTTTCTCCAAACCCCTTTCTTTCCTTATGCCAGCCTCTCCTGTTTATCCTTTAAGGCTCAGATCAAACTGTTACCTCCTGTGAGGTTTCCCTGTCTGGATCTTTGCTCCCTACCTGCTCGTAGAAAGAGAGAAATACTCCAGCTTGAGAAAACCACTTTCTTAACTCTTTATTTTCCCATACTTTTCCCCTCCTAATCTTTGACCTCTCCCCTCCTGCCAACCAGATTGAACGGCTTAACACCAAGACTCTATCTTGTTTCTTGATCTCCACTGCCAAGTTTAGAACTACCACTTAGCTGTTGCTATGTAATTATTTGGAAAATTGAGATGGGAAAAGATACTTGGGAGACTATAGATAACTTTTCAAGATCTATTCCAACTCCAAGGTTCTATTTCATTAGAATCACTCTGCTTGCTAAGACAGTTTTTCTACCAATAGCAGTTAGCCAAACTTCTTGATTTTTAGTATCAGTCTTTTGGCACAACTTATCTAAATAGGTTGTATATTTTAAGAGAGAGAGAAAAAAATTAAGGGTGGGGGCTGGAGACCTGTGTATTTCTTAAAAGCCCCACAGCTTACTCACCTAGCTATAAACCATGTAAAATGAGAGAAATATATGGTCTAGGTCTGTCACCAAGCCTTTTCTATGAAGTGCAAATAGCAAATATTTTAGCTTTTGCTGGCCCCTCATGGTCACTGTTGTACAATCTTCCTCTTTTGTCTTTTACAAATATTTAAAAAATGGAAAAGCCATCCTTGGCTTCTAGGCTGTATGAAAACTGGATCTGCATACAGGCCATAGTTTGCCAACTCCTGGTCATTAATTACGGAGAATAGGCAGAATCACAGAGATCAACAGGCTGAAATTTACACCAGCAGAAGTGGATATATGCCCATGTTAAACTTTCCTAAAGTTACTGCTAAAATCAGATTTGGATATAGAGCTGAAGACAGAAGTATATGAACTAGCAGCTCTGGGAAGTTGGATATTAATTATATTCTCAAAGCAAAAAATAAGAATGTACCACCTTCTCTCATGGAGTCAAGACTACACAAGGTACAAGATGTGAAAGTACATGGCACATAACAGATTCTCAAGAGCATCCTCCTTGCTGCCGTTAGCGGCTCAGTCGTGTCTGACTCTTCTGTGACCCCAGGGACTGCAGCCCGCCAGGCTCCCCTATGAGTGAGCTTTCTCAAGCAAGAATACTGGAGTGGGCTGCCATTTACTTCTCCTGGGGGAGGTTCCTGACCCGGGGTCAAACCAGGTCTCCTGCACTGCAGGAGGATTCTTTACTGCTGAGCCACTGGGAAGCCCATCCTCCCTGGCGCGCACCAATAAAGGCTTACTGAAAGACTGGTAGCTCTCCCCGCCTAGTCAGTCAGTCCCTGCAAGAAAGAGGCTCTGTCTCTTTTTCTCCACTTAGCAAAACGCTCAGGTAGAATAAGCAATCATTTTGAAGGAACGAGAATGCTGAATCTGTCCCCAGAGGTTGTACTCCTCACACAACAAGGCCAAGCCACGTGGGTTCTCTATAGCCTGGCTTCAGTGTATACTGCTCTAGCTTTACCTCTAGCCGCTTTACTTCTGGACAAACTACCTAACCACAAACAAGTGTGTAGTATCTTTTTACTCCCCATCTTTGTTCACATGTCCAACTTTCCTTTCTATCCCCAAAGTCAGTTACAACTGGTTTTCTTCCAACCTCTTCCCAAAGCTTTCCCTCATCAACACAGAGATGCTCTTTCTTTCAAAATCCTGTACCAAGTATTACTCAACAGCACAGAGCACACGCTCAATTTACTGAACTGAGCAATCAAAAAGTGATTACATTAAAAACTAAGACCTGGCCTCCTACTTTAAGTCTTTTAAAAAATATTCTGACACGTGTTCGAGTCAGGGGCTCTCACGAAAGCCGCTGCGGCGCAATGAAGGTGAAGGCTGCCTTAGCCCGTGGCTGAGGTGGGATCCCGAGGCCTCTCCAGTCCGCCGAGGGCGCACCACCGGCCGTCTCACCCGCCGCGCCAGGGAGGTGGAGCACGAGCACACGTGTTAGGACCGGAAAGATGGTGAACTATGCCTGGGCAGGGCGAAGCCAGAGGAAACTCTGGTAGAGGTCCGCAGAGGTCCTGACGTGCAAATCCGTCGTCCGACTTGGGTATAGGGGCGAAAGACTAACTGAACCATCTAGTAGCTGGTTCCCTCCGAAGTTTCCCTCAGGATAGCTGGCGCTCTCGCAACGAACCCACGCAGTTTTATCTGGTAAAGCGAACGATTAGAGGTCTTGGGGCCGAAACGATCTCAACCTATTCTCAAACTTTAAATGGGTAAGAAGCCCGGCTCGCTGGCGTGGAGCTGGGCATGGAATGCGAGTGCCTAGTAGGCCACTTTTGGTAAGCAGAACTGGCGCTGCGGGATGAACCGAACGCCGGGTTAAGGCGCCCGATGCCGACGCTCATCAGACCCCAGAAAAGGTGTTGGTTGATATAGACAGCAGGACGGTGGCCACGGAAGTCAGAATCCGCTAAGGAGTGTGTAACAACTCACCTGCCGAATCAA